AGTTTTTTCAGGCGCCTAATATGTGCCAAAAGGAAAAGGGATTACACAGAAGAGTCCTTGCCCTGCAGATTCAGAACTGGGCTGAGAATAACAGCTCCGCCCAGCGTGGAAGTGAAGTGCTAGAAACATACCAAGGCCTAAGATGATGGAGAAGAAGGGAGAGTGTGGGTCAGACAGCCCCAGACAGGACGGCACTCAGGGATCGGTTGGTTGCACATGGATAGTTCTCAGATCTGGCTTTCCTTCAAAAATCACTGATGGAATTCTTTGAAAAAATTTAAATCTGAATTTTATCAGTAGTATCACCCCCCCCTTATTTTTAGTTTCTTTTTTTTTTTTTTTTTTTTTTTTTTTTTTTTAAAATATATTTTTTATTGATTTTTCACAGAGAGGAAGAGAGAGAGATAGAGAGTTAGAAACATCGATGCGAGAGAATCATCGATCAGCTGCTTCTTGCACACCCCCTACTGGGGATGTACCCGCAACCAAGGTACATGCCCTTGACCGGAATCGAACCCGGGACCTTTCAGTCCGCAGGCCGACGCTCTATCCACTGAGCCAAACCGGTCCCGGCTTATTTTTAGTTTCTTTGGAGAGTTTGATGTACTTTCAGGGTTAAGAACCAGGGAAGAGGGTGAAGGGTGGGTGTTCAAGACAGATGGATGAGCTAAACAGAGGCAGGGAACGCCAAACACCAGGAGGCATTTTCAGGAGAGCAGGTGAGGGTTCGGCACGGCGGGAGATGATGCTGAAGCCAGATCAGGCAGGGCCTTATGTGCTGAGCTCCGAAGTTTGAGGTGGATCCCAAGACTTCAGATGACTTCCTCTGGAGGAGTCATTTATGCTTTCAAAGTCCGGCTGTCTTCTTGCCCTTTGGCAGCGTTTGGAGGAGGAATTGGTGGTGGATCAAAACAAGAGACAGAAGAATCCCATTTAGGCCTCTTTTATAATCCAGAGAAATAATGAGGACGTGTTTAAGGTAGGCAGTGCAGTCTCACGGGGAGTAAAGGTCAAATGTAACTGAGGAGGTGGACTCTTTGGAACCCCGAGAGATGGGGGCTCAGGGAGAGGACAGGGTCATCCCCAGGTTAGTGGTTTGAAAACTAAAGGGTGGTGATGCCGTGAATATAGGAAATATTGTATTTAAGGGGAGGACTTTGTTCTTGTTCTGTTTACTTTGAGGTGCCTGGCCGGTGAGTAGAGATCACAGTGCAGTGGGATATTGACTGTCTTTGTGGATTTCTAGGCTAGGCAGGCATTTATTGAATAGCTGAATTATAGTGGAGCATTGCATTAAGAGTTTTACGTACATTCTCAGTCTTTGGGAAACTTCAAAATAGAGTAGCTGAAGCTGTGGTTTGAGTTAGGTCACCCAGAACGAGGATACTAAATGAGGTTCCAGTCCTGAGGGCAACCCCTGGAAACGGAAGCTTACAGAGGCAGAAAGAGGAGGAGATTGTGAAGGAGACTGAGAAGAACTGGAAGGAGAATTGTGTTGTCTTAGCTAACGAATCCATGGCCAGTATTTTCTTTTGCACATTTAAGAATTTAATCTGCATAAGAAACATTGTCCACCTTTTTTTAAATTTAATTTTTAAACATTGGATTTATTGGGATGATACTTGTTAAAACTATACAGGTTTCAAGTGGACAACTCAGTAACACATCCTCTGCACACTGCTTCGTGGGCTCACCACCCAAAGGACAGTCCCCTGCCCGCCCCGTTCATCCCGCTTTGCCTGCTTCCCACCTGTGGCCAGCACTGGCATATGCTTTAGAGTCCAGAACTGCTGGGTTTGGTAGAACAGATTCTGAAGGACTTCCCGGAAAACATTTACTAGTCAAAGTAAGGGCAGAAACCAGAGTGCAGAGGAGCTGAAGAAATGAATCTAGATGATTTCCCCCCCAAGAAGTGTAGGTGGGAAAGAGAAGAAGGTGATTGTTATTTGAAGACTCTGGCTAGCTAATGTGAGAGATGATGTCCCCAGAGTAAATCTGTGGAAAGTTCCAGCTACGCCTCTGGTGTGTGATGGACACATCGCTGTACAGTATGACATCAGCTCTTTTTGATGCTTGGGGAGTGGTTTTTCTATCCTATCGCTTGATTCTATGGTTCAATAATGGTTCCAAGCAGTTAAAAAATACCATGAAATTAACACGACAGACTTTCAGAAGAACTGAGTTGGGCAAAAACTTCACAGGATTCACGATCTACCCTGGGAATTGACCATATGTCCTATTCAGAATTTGCTGGGCTTCCTATCAGGACAGTGATGATTCACATTTGGGGATGTTAACGAAAAAAACCAAAAACACATTGAAACCTATAAAGAATTTCTGTGAGTTTGAGCCAAACTATCAACATATGCCGGGAAGCGGAACCTCTCTCATTGATGTTTCTGACTCTCTATCCCTCTCCCTGCCTCTCGATAAAAAATGAGTTGAGATAATGCTCCAGCAAATGGCAGATTACATCTGTATTTATTCATTGCAGTCAAAGGGAAGGGACTGAGGTGAGTTACATGAACTTCATTGGTGATAGATTAGGGAGGTGGGACAGAGCAAAGCAGGAAAACCTTTGGGATAGGGTAAAAGGTGAAATGATGGACATGTGCTTCTCTTACAGAGATGGGTACAGGATGCTTTAATGTAATTAACAGTTGACAATTAACTTGATAACAATAACAATGAGGGGATGTCCCTGCGCCTTTTGTTGTGCACTGAGGGATCGAGGGGGAAAAAGGAAGTTACACGTTTCCCGGACATCTCACTGACTAGTTATCTTAGAGGCCAAAGGCAAATGGGCACAGGAAAGATCCACGTTGATCTTTATCAGGGAAAATATCTTCCTAGGAGTTGACTACCCACTATAACCTATTTGTAGTTAAATATTTAATTTTCAAGCCATCTTTTGTGGTTAGTTTAGGTCTCTGAGTTTGAAAGACTGCCACGCTGGCCTCCCTGAGCTTGTCAGGTTAGCATGTGGCTCCTTTCGTCCTCAGTGACATAATAACAAACATGGCCTGCTGAGAGGAAGCACAGAAGCGTGTCTCTCTTGTTGACGTGTCCTGCAGCACCGTTCTCTGTGTGCTGTAGATCCCGTGGTGCTTATCTCTTACATGGGAGTAATGCCCATGTACTTGGAGAAAAGGCCTGTTTTTTAAAAATGTATATTGATTTTTTTACCGAGAGGAAGGGAGAGGGATAGAGAGAAACATCGATGAGAGAGAAACACCAATCAGCCGCCTCCTGCACACCCCCCACTGGGGATGTGCCCGCAACCAAGGTACAAGCCCTTGATCGAAATCGAACCTGGGACCCTTCAGTCCAAAGGCCGACGCTCCATCCACTGAGCCAAACCGGCTTTGGCAAGGCCTGCTTTTGAGTGTGGAAGTAGCCTAGCTCTGAGTGAGAGAATAAAGAGCAGACTCCATAATTTTCTTAATGGAAGGGTCGTTTTACTGACTGCTCTGTTAACATGTTGTGACAAAGTTAGTGTTTTACTTTATTCACTTTTTTCCAGGTTCCAGTTTTCCCTGTCCAGTCATTCTCAAAAAAATGTTTGAGAACCCTCTTAAGTTTCAGTTTCTGTTCTTGAATCTGAATTCTTGCTGCATGTTCAATTAGATCACCAGAAAAATAGCTTCTGCAGATTTTCAACTTCCTGGTGGTCTGATGCCTTTCAGATACAAGGAACTCTGCTTTAAAGAAAATGATTTAAATTCTGCAGAAACTAATGCTGTTCAGTGTTACTGTTGTCCCCAGTTCGCAGCCCCCTTGACAGGTGTGGGCACTAATCACATGGAAGGGATTAGGATCAGTGCCAGGGCAGGGCGTGGCTCCGGCTGAGCTGCATACTTTCTCTGTTTTTCAAATGACGACTCTATGCCTCATCATGTGATCTTTCTGCTCAGCTTTTCAGGAAGCTCCTACTTTAGGACTTAGTGAAATTAAATTTTTTTTAAATAAGTTTGGATTGCTGTCTCTTTTTAAATCTTTTAAAATGTCATTTTTTTTTATATGTAGTACTTAAATATTAAAAGCTGCCCTGAATTATTTTTAGGAGCATGAAGAAAGTACACAATTAATACTTAATAAATTCAAAAAATTCCTAAGACAAATACATGTATTTGATTATAAGTACACATGTACGTATAAATCTTTAATCATGGATTATTATGTTATAGATCTCTCAGGGAGAACAAAGGGTAAAATATGTAACTGCAGCAGTGTTTGACTATATTCTGGGCAGTGAGAAAGCCTGAAGTCATTTTCAAGGTCCACCATTTCTTTTCAATTGGGTCAAGTTTCTAAGCTTTCTAAATGTCCATTTCCCGGCTAATGAAAAGAAAATAGGATTCCACTGAGTCTCCTATCTCAGTGGTCAGCAAACTCATCAGTCCACAGAGCCAAATATCAACAGTACAACGATTGAAATGTCTTCTGAGAGCCACATTTTTTAAACTTAAGCTTCATCTAACACCACTTCTTCAAAATAGACTCGCCCAGGCTGTAGTATTTTGTGGAAGAGCCACACTCAAGGGGCCAAAGAGCCGCAAGTGGCTTCCGAGCCACAGTTTGCCTAACACTGTCCTATCTCCCTACTCCAGGACTTCTGTGAGGATCAAATGAGATGAGGCATAAGAAAACGCTTCACAGACATTTGGTTAAAGTCTGAATAGTTTGCACCTGGCTATAAAGCAAGTCATATTCCTGGGCTGAAGAAACTGCAAGGAAGCTAGTTGCTAAGGAGAGGAAGCCGGGCGTTGCTATGTGACATCATTACCCAGACTGCCGGACACTTAGCATATTAGCCCTGTATATATGTAGCTGACATAGTTTTGAGCCTTTTTAATAGCACACCTGTATTGCCTTATGATGTTTACAACTAACAAAGTGCTTTCATTTTATTATATTTTTCATGTGTCAAAGGAGGTTTTGAGGAGTGGGCTCAGATTTGAGTTAGTCCATTATTGACAGCTGGCCAGGAGGTGGTCTCAATGTGGTTGAGGTACGTTCTCAGTTGAGGGTGATGGTTGTTTGAGGAAGTGTACCATTCTTCACACAGAACAGGCCTGAAGTGTTGTTTTGTTTATCTTTAGTCTTTGTTTGTTTCCTAGATCCAGGAGCAGAATGAGCACATGCTGCTGGTGCACGCCAGGTGGCGTGTCCGCCGTTGAGTTCCTACGGCGCTATGCATTCAGGACCCGGGCCAGTGAATTCCGGACGGCAGATGATGACCTCTGCTACTGCTTAGAGTGTGTGATCGAGTACCACAGAGCAAGGGACGAGCTGCCATTCTTGCATGAGGTAAGTTACATTATGGGGGAATGTTTTTCGGAGCTTGATAACTAGGAAGAGAATAAATTTGAACTCTTTATTTTTTTTATTTTTATTTTTTAAAAATATATTTTATTGACTTTTTACAGAGAGGAAGAGAGAGGGATAGAGAGTTAGAAACATCGATGAGAGAGAGTCATCGATCAGCTGCCTCTTGCACAGCCCCAACTGGGGATGTGCCCACAACCAAGGTACATGCCCTGACCAGAATCGAACCCGGGACCTTTCAGTCCGCAGGCCGATGCTCTATCCACTGCGCCATACCAGTTTCGGCAAATTTGAACCCTTTAGAAGCATCCAGGGAGCTGATAGTTTAAACTTTAAAGGCTGATATATACCTCTAGTATCTAATTTATTCCCTGCTATATAGTAGGTGCTGAATCAGTGGCCATTAACTGATGGAATTGAATTGAAACCTAAAACAGAATTGTATGACCCCTCACTTTTAGTCATCCTATATAATAGGCTAATACGCAAATCTATCTAACAGCGGAACGACTGGTTGCTATGACATGCACTAGCCACCAGGGGGCAGACGCTCAAAGCAGGAGCTGCCCCCTGGTGGTAAGTACTCTTCCACAGGGGAGCGCCGCTCAGCTGGGCTCATGGCTGGTGAGTGCAGCAGCGGTGCCGGGAGCCTCTCCCACCTCTGGGAGCGCTAAGGATGTCCAGGGAGTGGACCTAAGCTGTCAGTCAGACATCCCCTAAAGGATGTCTGGACTGCGAGAGGGTGCAGGATGGGCCGAGGGACCTTCCCTCTCCCCCGAGTACCTGAATTTTGTGCTCTGGGCCTCTAGTTTTGGTATAAAACAATTTTATGAAATGCAGTGAGGTATGGGGAGAGTGTTGGTTCATGTCAGTATATCAATGTATTTGACAGTATTACAAATTCATGTGAATGGGTTGGGCTGTTTTTATTGATTTTTTTTTTTCTCTTTTCATTTAAAAAATATTGATTTTTTTTACAGAGAAGAAGAGAGAGGGATAGAGAGTAGAAACATAATAAGAGAAACATCGATCGGCTGCCTCCTGCACAGCCCCCCCACTGGGGATATGCCCACAACCAAGGTACATGCCCTTGACGGGAATCGAACCTGGGACCTCCGATGCTCTATTCACTGAGCCAAACCAGTCTCTTTTCATTTTTAAATAGGTAAATGGTATAAAACTCTGAGCACAGGCATATTTTCTAGTCATAGTAAGCCAAAGTAACACTATCTATTTATTTATTTATTTATTTATTTATTTATTTAATATATTGATTTTTTACAGAGAGGAAGAGAAAGGGATAGAGAGTTAGAAACATTGATGAGAGAGAAACATCGATCAGCTGCCTCTTGCACACCCCTACTGAGGATGTGCCCGCAACCAAGGTACATGCCCTTGACCGGAATCGAACCCGGGACCTTTCTGTCCGCAGGCTGATGCTCTATCCACTGAGCCAAACCGGTTTTGGCGTAACACTATCATTTAAAAATGTAGCTTTGAGGAGAGATCCAAGGTGGCTGCTCGGGTAGACATCTAGCCGCGGCAGCACACAACAATTTCAATGGAATACAACTAAAATGTAGAGTGGACATTGCCCAGAGCTACAGGTAGTCTACTGAAAATTCTACAACAAGAAGGAAAGAGAAAACCAGAAGGAAAATCAGAGGAGCTGAAAAAAAGCCTAAGGTATGGAGACATGCTGCGCACCCGCCCGCGCGCGCACGGAGAGGTCGCAGCTGGAGAGGAGGAAAGGGCTGGGTGCTGCCTGTCGTTCCCTAGCAGGAAAGAAATAAAACCCCCAGCCTGGGCTGAACCCCCGAACTGGCAGCGCTGAGCCCCCCTGAACCGGCAGCGCTGAGCCCCAGTTATGGGCCAGACCCTGGGGACCCAGGCTCCGGCAGGGGGAAACGGGGCTATGAGGCGGAATCCCAGAAGAGCTGCGAAAAGCAGGAACCCCGGAGTCGCGCGCAATGCGCGCGCAGAGGACTGAATGTTGACTCTGATGCTGGGTTACCCTAGCCGGAAGAAACAAGGCCTCCGGCGGTGCTGAGCCTCAGTCCGGACTGCTCTGAACCCCAGTTCTGGGCCAATCCCTGGGGACCCAGACTCAGGCAGAGGGAGACGGGGCTGTGAGGTGGAGTCTGGGGAGAGCGGCGAAAGGCCGGGCCCCCGGAGTCGCGCGCACAGTGCGCGCAGAGGACAGTCTGTTGACTCTGATGCTGGACTCCCCTAGCGGGAAGGAGAAAAAAAGCTCCGGGCTGGGGGAACGCGGCGGGGAGCAGGAGCCCCTGCTGGACGCCGGCCAACCGGGCACCAGCAAGGAGGCGGCGAAGGGGCCCCTGGGGGGGTGAGTGCCCCTGAGCCTTCGACCGCTGAGCGCAGGCAATGGAGCCAAGGCCGGGGGCCTGCTTCCTGGGTGGCGCCATCCCCGGCAACAGGCTGAAGCAGCGCAGGAGCCCGCGGAGAACAAAGGGGTGCCACAGGCCAACCTGCTGAGCTCCCAGGACAAGGAGGAAGAAACCAAAGAAGTTCTCAATGTGAAGAAATCAAGTGAGAGTAAAAGATAGTAAAATTACTTAAGAAAGAATACAAAGAAGTTCTTGAAAAATCAAAGACTAAGTCAGAACTCAACTCACCAGCCAACATTGCAACATAAATGTGTTTAAAAAAGAAAAAAGAAAAAAAAAGGACAGAATGTTGGAGCAGCGGCAGCCAGGCCTAGAGTGGCCAGGCACAAGGCAGTGGCAACCAGGCCGGAGCAGCAACGGCCAGGCCCCAGAGCAGCAGCAGCCAGAACCAGAGCATCAACAGCCAGCACTGGAGCAGCCAGACCTGGGGCAGTGGCAGCCAGGCCTGAGGTGGAGACGGCCAAGCCCAGGGTGGCCAGTCCAGGAACACCCAGACCCGGAGTGGCCGGGCCCGGAGAAGCCGGGCCCAGAGCAGCCGGGGTGGGAGCAGCCAGACCCAGAACAGCAGTAGCCAAGCCCAGAGCATCCAGGCCGGGAGTGGCCAGGCTTGGAGCGGCTGGGCCCGGGGCAGCCGAGCCCAGAGCAGCCGGGTTGGGTGCGGCCAGACCAGGAGCAGCGGCTGCCAGGCTGGGAGCAGCCAGGCCTGGAGCAGCGGCTGCCAGGCTGGGAGCGGCCAGGCCTGGGGGAGCAGCCGGGTCGGGTGCGGCCAGGCCCGGAGCAGCAGCTGCCAGGCTGGGAGCGGCCAGGCCCGGGGGAGCAGCCGGGTCGGGTGCGGCCAGGCCTGGAGCAGCGGCTGCCAGGCTGGGAGCGGCCAGGCCCGGAGCAGCCGGGTCGGGTGCGGCCAGGCTCGGAGCAGCGGCTGCCAGGCTGGGAGTGGCTAGGCCCAGAGCAGCCGCAGCCAAGTCCAGAGCAACTAGGTCGGGAGCGGCAGTGACCAGACCCGGAGCAGCTGGTTGTGGAACGAACCAGAGCAACAGAGGCCAGGCCCTGAGCAGCCAGGCCCGGAACAGTTCGCTCCTCGCCTGCCCCTGCCCCACGGCTGCCTCTCAGACATGGCTGGAAACTTTTGCGGGAACTTTAGGGTCTGCTAAATCAAGTGATGATGGCTTAGATCTGGATGTGTTGAGTTAGTATAGGGCTGGGGTGTTGATCTGTGAGTGCCTTGGGTGGGGCCTGGATGAGGCTAGTTGACCTATTGGGAAATGTCTTTTGTTTGAAGTGTATCATTGGGCATGTGGAGGTATTATTGATATGAGAAAATGCTAAGTAACTGATTTACTATCTGAAAAGGGATTTACTATCGGGGAAAGGGAGGGAAGAAGAGACTGAACATAAACTGCACCTATGGATGAGGACAATGGGGGATGGAGAGGGGGTGGAGGGTGGGGTGGGAACCTGTTGGAGGGGGGAAGAAATGAGGAACCTTTGTAATAATATGAACAATAAAGATTGATTTTAAAATAAATAAATGAATAAATAAATAAAAAATAAAAATAAAATAAAATAAATAAAAAATAAAAATGTAGCTTTGAATATTTGGTTTATTACATTTATGTGATGAAAAATAGAACACTGCCCTGGCTTCTGCGTCTCAGTTGGTTGAGTATTGTCCCATGCACCCAGAGGGCACAGGCTCAATTCCTGGTCAGGGCATATGCGCAGATTGCAGGCTTGAGCCCCAGTAGGGGGTAATTGATGTCTCTCTCTCCCTCTTTTTAAAAATAATAAAAATGTATTTTAAAAAATAAAATGCAGACCATAGAGATGATATATAGAGGAGGAGGTACAGTTCCTAGTTGGGAAATGTGCCAGGCTTGTGGACTTGATCCCCTGTGTGGGACATACAGGAGGAAGCTGATCAGTGATTCTCTCTCATCATTGATGTTTGTCTCTCTGTCTTCCTTCCTCTCTGAAATCATTAAAAATATATTTTAAAAAATGATAGCGAAGGAATAACAAAAAATAATATTTGTAAGCAAATGTAGTTTAGAAGCATTTTAAAATTAACAGTGTGTTAATTTTCACATATGACATATGGACTGGAAATTTTATCTGTTAAATCTAAAGTCTTAAATTGAGGACTGCAAAATCAAGGGTTTACTGTGCTCATGTATCATAAATGTGGCCGTGGTTAGTGACTATTTTCTTCAAATATGTGATATCTACTTTATTTATTTGCATTAAATACTAAACACAGATTTGGCTTCCTTTTTTTCTTTACATATTTCTTTATTGATTTCAGAGAAGATGGGAGAGGGGGGGAAAGAGAGAGAGAGAGAGAGAGAGTGCGCGAGAGTGAGAAACATCAGTGATGAGAGAGAATCATTGGTTGGCTGCCTCCTACTGGAGATTGAGCCTGCAGCTCTGGCATGTGCCTTTGGCTAGCATCGAACTTGGGACCCTTCACTCCACAGCCCGATGCTCTATCCATTGACCCAAACAAGCAAGGGCTGTGATGTCTCCTTTAAAATTCTGCATCTTGAACCAAAAGATAGAGACAGTAAAGCAACAGGCAGACTGTCAAATTATAGCAGAGAGGGTAGGAAGATCTGGGGGAGATAATAAATCAGCGGAAGGACTTGTATACATGCATATAAGTACAACCAATGGACACAAAACTCTGGGGAGGGAGGGTATGTATGGAAGCGGGGGGCAATGTTAAAATATGTACACAGATAATTTAATTAAAAAAATAAAAAAATAAATAAATAAAATTCTGCATCTTTATGCTTAGGAAAAGGCTTTTAGAAAGATCATGACATCCAGGATATTTTGTTGATAAGATATAAAGCACACTGCCCGTTTTCTTTTCCTGTAGGTTTTATGGGAATTAGAAACCTTACGCCTCGTAAATCACTTTGAAAAATGTATGAAAGGAGAGATCGATGACGATGATGATGAACTATATATCATAGACAACAATGGAGAGGCACAGCCGTTTGACTTCACTGGCCAAGACTTTGAAAATAAGCTTCGAGTTCCTCTTCTCGAAATCCTGAAATACCCTTACCTGCTCCTACATGAGCATGTCAGTGAGTATCTTGGGTGTTCCACAGGTTGTATCAGTTTTATTATATCAAGGATTATAAGAATTAAGTTTATTATATGAAAATCTGTTTGTTAAATATATAATTAGGATATTTAATATTGTCCCCAACATTTTGTTACCAAAGTTTCCAAACATAAAGTAAATTATGTAGTAAACACCATGCACACAGCACAGATTCCACGGTAGCGAACATCTTGCTGTATTTGCTTTATTATGTGTTTTATTCATCTCTTCATTCCGTTCATTTTTATTCTTGTGTTTTTCTCAACCTTGGCACAATTGCCTTTTTTTTTTTAGATATATTTTTATTAATTTCAGAGAAGAAGGGAGAGGGAGAGACAGAAACAGCAAGGATGAGAGAGAATCAGGGATCAGCTGCCTTCTGCACTCTCCACACTGGGGATGGAGCCTGCAGCCCTGGCATGTTCTCTGACCAGGAGTTGAACTGTGACAACCACTGAGCCATGCCAGCCGGCCGGCACTATTGACGTTTTAGGCTGGATTGTTCTTCATTGTGGGGACTGTCCTGTACACTGTAGAATGTGTACCAGCATCTCTGGCCTCCATCTGCTAGATGCTATGGTACCCCACTCTCCCCGACCCCAGTTGGAAAACCAAAAACATCTCCAGAAAGTGCTCAGATGCCCCTTGGAAGTTGGGGGCAGGGTTGTGGAGAGGCAGAATCGTGCCTGTTAGGGAACCACTGGGCTGCAGTGGTTTTCAGTAATCACTATGGCATTGAATGTAATGGCTGCCTAGAGTTTGGTCATTTATATTTGTATTTATTAATATGAATCTCTTAAAAGTAAAAGAGATTATCTTTAGAGTCCAGTCAGGGATCATACATTACATTTGGCTCTCCTTTGATCTCTTTTAATCCAAAGAGTCTGTTCACGCACACATGCCCACACCCCTTTTTGTTGGTGTGACTCTTTCCGTCCTTAAGTGACTTGTTGAGACTGGAGTTGCCCTATAGAATAATGTACATTATGGAGCTTTCTCATTGCTTTTTTAACTTATGTCAGTAAACTGGAAAGTTGATTTAAAGATTGGTTAAATCTAAATACATTAGAAATAGATTTTTAAATTCCAACAAGTCATTTTTAGAATATTTATTAAAGAATACTGTATCCAGGAAAATATGTACGCTTGATATTATTTCACAACCAAACACAGCTTTTGTGGCCACCACTCAGCTAAAGAAACGATGTCAGTGCCCCAGGAGCTCCCCTCATGCTTTTCAAGCCATTTTCCCTCGTCCCAGGCCAGCCACCTCTACTGCCACTGTTTTTAGAAGCTTAACAAACTAACGGTGCTTCATCTGATAGTGTGAGAGTCTATTTTGAAAGAGAAATGAAGACATTTCCATAAAGCAACAGGACTTAGAACAGTGCTCACATAGTGGAGCAGTGAAGTGTCTAGACATCATCCAGGTGCATTTCAAATCAGTGGAAAAAATGGATTTTTTGATAAATAGTAGCCGAACAACATAGCTCAGTGGTTGGCAAACTCATTAGTCAACAGAGCCAAATATCAACAGGACAACAATTGAAATTTCTTTTGAGAGCCACATTTTTTAAACTATATAGGTAGGTACATTGTTATTAAATTAATAGGGTCCTCCTCAGCTGGCCTTTGCTAAAAACTCAAGGGACCAAAGAGCTACATGTGGCTTGAGAGCCGCAGTTTGCCAACCACTGACATAGCCAATGGGGGTGAGAAGGAGGGAAGCTGACTTTCCTTATCGTTCCAGATAAAGTCCATATGAGTCGAAATGTAAAATTCTAATGGAATTGGACCTATAGCCATACTTCTAAGAGGATACCCTATGGAGATAATTATGCCAGGAGTAAAAAATAAAAAAATGTATATACTAGTAATAATTCATAGGAACTATACTGGGATAAGTTATTTTTTTCAGATAGGTACATAGTGTTCCTACATTTATGAGGGACAGGTTTTCATTTACTTACAAAAAGATTTAGGTTCTCTCGATAAGTTGATAGAATGTGTGTCTTATGTCTACTGTCTTGTTTTTCTCTTTAGATGAGTTATGTGTTGAAGCACTTTGTCGGATGGAACAAGCAAATTGCTCCTTTCAGGTTTTTGAGAAACAGCCCGGAATCTATTTGTTTTTGGTCCATCCCAACGAAATGGTGAGTATGAGTGCCAGACGACGGAAGGATATGCGGTATTTTGCTCGTGTGGATAGCTGTATTGGAGGTTTCGATGTGTAGTTTGTTTAAAATGTTGGTCAGGATACTTCTGACAGGTGCTGCTTCAGCTCAGAAGACAATGGTCAAGGGGACAGCTTGCATATTAGCCTTTTTATATAGGATTTTATTTTTTAATTTAATTTTTTTTTAAAAAAGATTGATTTCAGAGAAGAAGAGAGAGAGAGAAACATCAGTGATGAGAGAGAACCATTGATCGGCTGCCTCCTGCATGCCCCCTATTGGGGATGTGCCCTTGACCAGAATCAAACCCGAGACCCGTCAGTACACAGGCTGTTGCCCTGTCTACTGAGCCAAACCAGCTAGGACTCCATTGATTTTTTTACAGAGTGGAAGGGAGTGGGAGAGACATAGAGAATCTTCTATGTGAGTAACTTCGATTGCCTCCCACACTTGCCCAAACTGGAGCTGGGGGTCCGGCCTGCACTCAGATATGTGCCCTTGACCAGAATTGAGGCCATGGCCCTTCAGATCATGGGCTGATGCTCTGACCACTGAGAAACAGGCTGTGGCTCTGTGTTTAAAAACATTTAAAAATATATATATATTTAATGATTTCGAAGAGGAAGGGAGAGAGAGAGAGAGAAACATCAATAATGACAGAGAGTCGCTGATCAGCTGCTTCCTGCATGTCCCCCTTTAAGCATGTGCCCTTGTCGGGAATTGAACCTGGGACCCTTTAGTCCACAGGCGACACTCTGTCCATTGAGCCAAACAAGCCAGGGGGCTCTTGTGTCTTTTTTAAAAAAATTATTTTTGTCTTTGTCTTTTTTAAAATTGATTTGAGAGAGGTAAGGGAGAAGGAAAGGGAGGTTGGAGGAAGGAAGAAATATCTGTTCCATTATTTATACATTCATTGGTTAATTCCTTTTTTTTTTTTTTTTTTTTTTTCATTGGTTGATTCTTGTATGCACCTGACCAGGGATTGAACTCGTAACCTTGGCCTGTCTGATGACACGCTAACCAGCTGCGCTACATGGCCAGGACCTAGTATTTTGTGTCTTTTAAAATCTCTAGGGAACCCTGTTATCTTAAGTAGGTTTCGGTGTACGGAGACAGTTGTTAGGTGAATGAAGTGACGAGTGTGTTGTGCTTACAGGTTCGCCGTTGGGCTATCCTGACTGCCAGAGGCTTGGGGAAAGTGGACAGAGACGATTACTATGACTTACAAGAGGTTTTGACTTGCCTTTTTAAAGTCATTGAGTTGGGGCTTTTAGAAAATACAGATATTTATACTACTTCTGTCCTTGAGAAGGGTAAACTGATCCTCCTGCCACCACACATGTATGACACTTCCAACTACAAAAACTACTGGCTAGGTAAGTACTGTCACTACACAAATAGCCTTCATATTTCCCTGTAGCTCTTATGGGTATCCTGCAAAAGAAGTGATCTCTTTTGATATTCTTTTCAAAATTGCTAAATACGGGATTTCATAGTTTCCAATTTTTTTGTCATTAAATTGGCATAAGTATACATTTTGTTTTTAAATATTTATCCTAGAAACAATCTGTGTAAGAGATACATTTTCAAGTACAGCAAATAGATATTTTATTTGAAACAGTATTAGATATAAAAATATTGATAAAGTATTTCACTTTGATAGGGTTTGATCTAGTTTAAGAAAAGGTTTAATGCCTCTTTTTCCATCTGTAAAATATTTCCTGATAGGAAGAGAATACTATTATAGCTTTGGTTTTCAACAAGTTCTAAACTGACTCAGAGTAGTTCCCCCCTACTTTATTGAATTGAAGTCTTACAGTCATGGGTCCTATTTGGCAGTGGTCGGTACTTGAAATATGATGATCTTAAAAATGAAACCATCTTAGACATCATGAAATACAGATTTGTGTGGTAGTCATCTTAGAGATTGTTTTCTAACCAAATTCATACCAGGTTCCCGTTGTATTCTCAAATTAGTCTGAAGTCCTTTTACTTAGGAATAGATGTCTATGAAGACATCAGCGTTAGAGAAACTGGATTCTGCTTGCTTCGTCTCTCTGCCTTGGTTCTTGCCTCCTGAACGAGAGGAAGCATGAGGGTGGTGCTACTTAACCCATTCAAGAAAGCCGTCACCAATCTTCCAGGTATTTGCATGCTGCTGACCATTCTCGAGGAGCAGGCCATGGACTCCCTGTTGTTGGGCTCAGACAAGCAGAATGACTTCATGCAGTCAATACTTAACACCATGAAGAAGCAGACAGAGGGTGAGACGCTTGATTTGTTAAGTGCTTTTGAACGCTCTGATGATGACGCACTTTTATTTTATTTATTTATTTTATTTTTCCTACAGAGAGGAAGGGAGAGGGATAGAGAGTTAGAAACATCGATGAGAGAGAGAATCATCGATCAGCTGCCTCCTGTACACCCCCCCACTGGGGACGTGCCCGCAACCAAAGCACATGCCCTTGACCGGAATCGAACCCAGGCCCCTTCAGTCTGTAGGCCAACGCTCTACCCACTGAGCCACACCGGTTTTGGCGATGACGCACTTTTAAAATACTGATGTTGCTGCAAGAATTGTGTGTATAGTGTGGAGGAAGGAAAACACGTTATGGATCAGGTCACAGATTCAGAATCCTGAATTGGGAGGGACCTTTAGAGTTAATTCAACACCTTTCATGAAAGAAGAGGTGGAAGCCCAGGGAAGTCACTTTACGTGGTGAAACACCCGGTTAGCGGTAGAGTAAAGAGTAGAGTCTAAGGAGGTCCGTTTCTAATGGCAACCTAGTTAAAACTGTACAGAAAGCCCCTGTCCCACTGTCTTCCTTTTTCCCTAGTTCTTCATCTCGTTCTCGTTCTCGTAACAGTCACCAGCATGTTAGCCAGAGGTGGCTGTTTCAATTACAGTGAAAGTAAAAATTTAGTTTTCTGGCCCCTCCTCCTATTTCAGGTTCGGAGCCCCAGGTGCCAGGTGGCTCCTGTACTGAGCAGCCAGTACGGCCACAAGCATGCGCAGCGCACAGGACCTGCGCTGGCAGCGCTGCTCCGAGAGTCCAGAAAAGGGCTCTGCGCCACGTGCTCAGGCTATCCTCCCACCAGCTTCCTTTCGCTCATGGTGTATCAAGGGAGGATTTGTGCTAAGGTGTTTCTCATCTTTCTCCTTTATGGAGGATGAATCTATAATAAAGACCAAGCAGCCAGATCCTACAAAAACATTGTGAATATAATTTTCCTTTAGGCGACTTCAGTGTGGATACTCAATTCTGGGAGATTCAAAAATATATAGATGTTATTCTTTTTTGCTAGATTATTCCTAACGAAAGTTTTTACGACTTTGTTTGCCGGCATTTACTACATAAATTGTTCATTTCTTTCTGAATGCCTTGCACACATAATTTTGTTCTCTCTGTTAATCCCCTAACCTTCAGAATGCCACACCTCTGAAACCTTTTTGTCTTCACCTAACTGATGACATGTTTCCTTAATCTGACAGTTTACGAGACATGTGTCAGCTGAAGTAAAGCATTAGGAAAGGAATTATATGGGAGGTTAGAGCTTGTCAGTCATGGGAATCCTGTTTGGCTCGGTGGATAGAATGTCGGCCTGCGGACTGAAAGGTCCCAGGTTCGATTCCGGTTGCGGGCTCGATCCCCTTGTAAGGGGGCGTGCAAGAGGCAGCCAGTCAACGATTCTCTCCCATCATTGATGTTTCCCTCCCTCCCTCTCCCTTCCTGTATGAAATAAATAAAAATATGTTAAAAAAAAAAAAGCTACATGATAGGCCTACATGACTGTCTGATGAAAAACTAGACTCTAAGCGTCCCGAGGGCAATAACACTGCAGGTCCAGGGTAACTTCACAACAGCAGTCACAGAGCCGGAGCGTTTGCCTCTGAAGGAAGGGCACCTAGAGGATGACGTGGCGCTGGACCTGGGTGAGCAGGGTTGGAGGCACGGCACCGGTAGTGAAGGCATCTGGTTCTTGTTTGGGGAAAGCCAGCTGTTAGTTTGTGCGATAGCCAGGGAGTGATTCTGGGAGGGTGACAGGTAGAGCAGGAGAAGAACAATAGAGGAAGGCTAAGTGCTTGACTGAGGCTTTGAGTTTCCTTAGAGACATTCAGGAGCAATTGGAGGTCTTTGAGGGGGCGGTGGGGGGTGTGGCAGTGTCTTGCCACTGCGTGTCTGATAGAGAAGAGGGGAGGACTTGAGGTTAGAGCTTGTCAGTCATGGGAATTCCTGCCACTGGAGGGAAGTAGATTCCAAAGAGCCATGCTGCAGTTTATCAAAGAGCCATGATAAAGGCTGCAGCTCTGCTTACCCGTTAGCCTTGGTGCATCCTAGGCTTTGCTTACATCTGGAGATACCAAGTTTTTTCTTTCCTCTACTTCTCTTCTGTGATTTATTGAAGGGAGTTCTGGGAGAAGGTGAGTTGGACAGAAAAGATGGCTTCAGGTGTGGCAAATGGTGGAAAAGTCTATCAATTTGTTCTCCATTTAAATTTTTTTTACAGAGGCGTAGAGTATTGCTTGAAAAAAATTCAAAAACAATTTAAAAATTTGCCAGCTTTTGTTGTTAATCCTCACTGAAGGATCTTTTTTCCATTTTAGAAAGAGAGGAAAGAAAAAAAACACATCATGTGAGAGACCCTCATCAATTGGTTGCCTCCTGCACTCAGCCCAACAGGAGTAGGGAACCTGCAACTCAGGTACATGCCCTTGACCAGAATCGAACCCAGGACCCTCAACCCTATGGTTCTCGGGCCGATGCTCTAATCACTGAGCCATGCCAAACAGGGCTTGCCAGCTTTTTAAAACCTGAAATTGGCAGTGCTTTGCTGTCAATTACTTGCTGCTTTGTTTTAAGTAAAGATGCTTAATTCCTAGATATTTTAGTATCTTTTCTAATTGCTTTGTAATTTGGCAATAACTCTATTCTATTTCAGATGATAGTGAAGATCCTTTCTGGCCAGCATTGCACTGTTTCATGGTCATTTTGGATCGCCTGGGATCTAAGGTCTGGGGTCAACTTATTGATCCTATCGAGGCCTTTCAGACCATTATCGACAACGCGAGCTACAACAAAGAGATCCAGAACATACGGAGAAGCTCTGTGAGGTCAGTTCCGTATGCCAGGAGCTCAAATTATCTGTAAGGAGCTCTGTTGTATCTTAACAATAGGGGTTTTCTTTCCCCCTTCATTTCTGTAATTTCTATTTTTTCTTAATATTTAAGGGCCAAGTCAGAACCAGAGTCGTGTCTGGATGATATGGTGACTTGCAGCCAGATTGTGTACAATTATAACCCAGAAAAGACCAAAAAGGTATAAAATAGTTTGAGCATTTAGATAACATTCTGTAACCTTTGCATTGTAAGACCATGGTTTACATAATTAGTTGACTTGCTGATTTTATGACATGTAACTAATACCGAATCAGTTGCTGCATAAAGGCTTTAGGGTTGAACCAGACCGTGCACAGGAGAAATTAATTTTTAAGTGCAGTTAGTAAGAGTAGAACGTTTATGGGAATGGAGGAGATAAGTGCCATGACTGGAATGGAAAGAGGGTCAGAGTACATAGAAGTGTTGTAAGTTTACCATTACATGAAACCCGCACCTCAAAATTGAACTATATTTTCAATTTCTTGGGGTTATGTGTAAACCAAAATCAGAAAATTGAGCCATGTATTTTTTTGTTTACAACTTGTGTGCTAACCTTGTCACGAATAGCGCTTGTTTGTCTGAATGTCAGTATTTCTTTCATTTTAGGATTCAGGGTGGAGATCAGCCATTTGCCCAGATTATTGTCCTAACATGTATGAAGAAATGGAAACATTAGCCAGCGTGCTTCAGTCAGATATTGGTCAAGACATGCGTGTTCACAACAGCACATTTCTGTGGTTCATCCCTTTTGTTCAGTCCCTCCTGGATCTCAATGATCTGGGCATGGCTTACATAGTGGAGGTCATTCACCATCTGCACTCCCAAGTCAAAGACGTTCTCAACCAAAAAGCCGTGGTGTGTGACAAAGTCACTGAATTTTTTCTGCTGATTTTGGTTTCGGTGGTTGAACTGCATAGAAGCAAAAAATGTCTGCATTTGCTGTGGGTTAGCTCCCAGCAGTGGGTAGATGCCCTTGTGAAATGTGCCAAGCTTCCCACTACTGCATTTGCGCGAAATTCTGAGAAGTCTCCTGCCAGCAGCTCCAAAGGAGCAGTGATGATAACGTCTCTGTCACTGCATTCAGTGCCATCTAACTCTGTCCAACTCGCTTGTGTGCAGCTGATCAGAAGTCTCCTTAAAGAAGGTTATCAGCTTGGGCAGCAGGCTCTTTGTAAGCGATTCTGGGATAAGCTCAACTTATTCCTGCGAGGAAATTTATCTCTAGGTTGGCAGTTGGATAGTCGGGAAACGCAAGACTTACAAACTTGTTTAAAGCAAATTATTAGAAACATAAGACTCAAAATGCCTCAATACACTGCCTTGGCAGAGCCGGCTCCTCCATGTAAAACCTCTCGTGCCTCTAATGCTAAAGAAGAAAGTGAACAAGTAGGGAAGGCATGTGGAAAAGACACCCCCTGGCTGGAAAGTGGCAGCCCAGTGTGTTCAAAAGAACCATTGAAAGCTGACGTATGTCAAGAGCAAGAGAGTAGTGTAGTAAGCAAAACAAGTAACACTATAGAAGAAAAAGTTAATGAGCAAAATTGCATAAAAGATTTGAAACTAGAAGACCATCTCTCAGCTAAGTCGCACTTAAAGCAGAGTAGTAAAAACCTTTCCAATGAAAGAACCCAAGATCAAGTGAAAAGACACACAAGGAAGCAGAAGTCTGTAAAAAATAAATCCTGTACGCCACAGAACTGTCCTTCCAGAAATGATCCAGAAGAAGGATGTGACAGAGGAGTAACTATGTCAGCACACTTGTTGACTGATTCTAACACTGATTCTCTGGATAAGGCGCCCACATCAAAAGAGGATTTCTCTCTAAAGAATGATGTTGGCAAAACCTCAAAAGCAAAAACTAAAGCACAGAAAAGTGAAATTTGTGCTAAGTTAGCCCATGTAATAAAGAAGCAAAACAGGAAAAGTGCCTTCGTCAAAAATACTGTGGACTTAAAGAGAGACGTGACTGTCCCCGACCCTGAGAATTTCTGTTCAAGGATAGATCCTGCAGGTCAGAACAGCGATGGCTTCATACAGAACTCTTCTTTAGACCTTAACGATAGTCTGGATCATAAAAATGAAAAAGGGAAATCTAACAGTTTATTGCTGAAACAGTTGAAGAAGGAAGAGTTAGATGTTCCTTCTGCCCATGAAAACAATTGTCAAATACAGGAATGTCATGTTAATAATAAAGTTTTTAATTCATTTACTTGGATGCCTAAAGCATCTTCCTGTAAAGATCCTGTGATTTTACTTGGATCAAAAGACAAGGAGATTAATAAGAGCACTGATCATGTTGCTTCTGACCTGAGAGAACAGGCCCCTAGCAGTCCTCAGTGTGACATCCTAACAGATTCTCAGATAGACAGGGACCTCCACAAGTTATCTCTAATAGCTCAAGCCAGTGTCAGTAACTTTCCATCAGATTCAACTCAAAAAAGCTCATCCCAGTTACAGAGAAAAGTAGAAGATAAAAGAAGTTTCAGAGCCAATCAAAATCATGTCAGGGAAACCTGCAAGGAACAAGTTATTATTATTTCAGATGATGATGATGAACAAATTCTAGATTTTGAGAAACACACGAAACAAGATAAAATGTGCCTTGAGAAAGAATCGCCAAGGCAGGATACTTCAATAGTTAATATGAATGTGGATATGAAGCCAACAAAGGAAGAAAAGACAGAGGAGTTTGAGGACTCTGGTTCTCAGCTTTTTGAGTTTGAAAGCCAACAGAAAGTGTTTTCAGTTTGGCAAGATCAGAAACCAGACAATGGGAATTCAGTTCAAGAGGATGAAAAAAATCCATGTTTGACTTATATAGCAGATATCACAAACGATTGGGGTTATGATACAGATTACCCTATGCCTGAAGAAGTCACCAAAAATGAAGCAGAGGGCACTGAGCATGCAAAACCACAAGGTAGTAGTTCTTTTGAGGAAGTTTGTGAAATTCAAGTAAAAAAACACAAGAGGAAACAATTAAAGAAAACAAAGGCCGAAGATTCTTTAAGGCCTTCATCTTTTGTCAGAAATAAGGACCAATCTGATACTCTTCATGAGAGCGATCGAACTGAAAATGATACTAAAATTGCAGACATAAGGACATCTCCCGAGTCAGGTGTAGAGAGAGCCACTCGGGTTTCCCTGAAGAAGTCGCCTCGAAAGCATCGAACTTACTCCAAAGTGGATCGGAGAGCCTCCGTTTCTAAAACGCCTAAGAAAACACATTCAGATTCCAAAAAAGGGCAGAATAAAGGTTCACATTACATAAGCTGCAGGAGCACTCCTGCTATCATGCTACCAAAAAAATCTCGCCATTGTCCTGAACCAACCTCAGTGGCTGAGAAACTTGGTCTGAAAAAGGCTCCTCGTCGGGCATTTGAGTTGTCTCAGCGATCTTTAGACATTATAGATAAATTACGCAACCATGGCAAAACAGTTGGAGAAATTGGTACTCCAAAAAAGACTAAACTGATTTCTCCTCAGAGTCTTCCTGCGAACGATAAGAAACTGCTCGTGAGCCAAGATCTTCAGTTTCAAAGGAAGAGGAGATCCAAATCTCATCGAAACAGACAAGGACTTTATGACAGCGCAGACACTACAAGAGCAGGCCCACATGCAGCCCAGAATTCTGACAGTGTTAGACCAGATACAGATAGGGCAGATGACAGTAACAAAGGAGGAACTGAGGTCATGGCAAACGGTAGTGGAAATCAGTCAATAAAATGTGTGTCTCCTGAACAAGGACCTGGGAAGGAAAAATATGTTTCTCAGGTGGCTGGTGATGCTTGTCTTTTGAGCCCTTGTAGTTCCCCCGTGTTAAATGGGAGAATACCAACTAGTGAAATTACAGTCTGCACTCTGGCGGACCCTTCAGGTGGTGGCAGTCTGACTGGACATCATTTAGGGGTGCCAACTTGGAAAAGGGGACAGCTTGATTCCAACAATGATATGGAAGGAGATGATATCTTTTTAACACAACACGATCCCGAAGATATGGACTTAGGTTCACAAATGCAGAATGGTGATGTTGGACTCGCTGAAGAAATCCATCAGAAAAGCGTTCATGTAGAAGATTCTATAAATCGGCCTCCGTCAGAATCTTTGAGTAGTGCAAGATGTAAGAACAAAGATTGTGTGGAAACGGTGAAAAGCCAGGGTGAGTACTGCTCAAAACACTCTGAAGCTAAAGCAGCAGATGAAGATGTCTTTCGTAAACCTGCCCTGCCTCTTTCTATGTCTAAACCTCTGAGACCTTCCACTACGAAGATTTTTAGCTCAAGCAGTACTTCACGAATTGCTAATTTTTCCAAGTCTTTGGAAAGTGCCTCAACACTTCCAGGCCCCAAAAATAAGTCAAATGGAAGACAACCTGCTTCAAAGGTACCACAGCCTGCCTCTCTGTCATCTCCAAAGCCAAGGGTTGAACTGAGTAGTTTATGCAATATTCTTAATTCTCCAACTCCAAGTAATTCCAGCAGGCAAGCTTTCAAACTTGCATTTGCTGAAAGCAGACCTTTTTCTTCTTCTCCGATCAACATGCTCTTATCATCACAGTCCATCTCTGACACCTTTGTCAAAGAGGTCTTGAAATGGAAATATGAGATGTTTATGAAGTTTGACCAATGTGGACCCCCAGCAAGTCTTTGTCAGGCCATCTCAAGACACGTGCCAATCAGATTTCAAGATTGTGGAGATTACTTTGAAGTTTTCTTCCCTTTGCTGTTACTGAATGCCTTTGAAACAGTGAGTATGGATCTTAATTGTACCATTCAGGCTTTGAAGTTGCTTCTTTTCTTGACCCTGCTAAGCAGTGGAGTGCAGTTAAAACAGCTGGCCTTGGGGTGCTGATGCTTCTAGGTTTCACTTGAAGCAGACATCTGTGCCAGGTACTGCTTGAGATGCTGGCGACCCAGCGGTAATGTTTCTTTGCCTCTGCCCTCTGAGCTACAGGCACAATTCAGCTAGCCCTGGAAGACACATTTGTTGTTGCAAAGAGGTGATAGTCTTCCATCTGCTTTTTTTTTTTTTTTTTTTTTTTTTTAATATGCTTTTATTGATTTTTAGAGAGGAATCCTAATATATAAAAACCCTGGTCATAACGACCAATGCTCAACCAACCGCAAGTCAGTCAGCACTAAGTCGTCATGGAGGCTGCTGAGTGGGCTGTGAATTAGAGCCAGAAAGAGGCCTGAAGAGAGAAACCGGGATTGATCCAGTGCCTCTGTGGCAGTTTTTGATCAGCACTTACCTCTCTCTTTCTCTCCCAGTCTGGGCAGCAGCTGAGCCTCCATTTCTCTCCAGGTCTCCACCAGGGCTGCTGATCAGCCCGCCTTTCTTATCAGGCCCAATTGATAGGTTCAGAGATGTTGACTGGCATAGAAACTAACCAATCAGAACCAAATCTTGGTGAAGTGTGAGGAATCAATAGCTACCTAGAAGGCAAAGCTTTTGATGCTGACTGGCATAGAAACAGACCAATCAGAACCAAATCTGAGTCAGTTATGAGGAGCCAATAGTTGCTTAGGAGACAGAACTTTTCACACTGAATGGCATAGAAACTGATAAATCAGAACCAAATCTGGGTCAACTGTGAGGAGCCAATGGCTACCAAGAAAGCAGAGCTTTTGACACTGACTGACATAGAAACTGACCAATCAAAACCAAATTAGTTGGCAGAGGAGGGCAGTTGGGGGCAAGATCAGGCAGGCAGAGGCAGTAGGGGAGGAAATTAGGCAGACAGGAGAGCAGTTGGCGAGATCAGGCCAGCAAGGGAGGGCAGTTAGGAGTGATTAGGCAAGCTGAGGGATTAGGGGCAATCAGGCAGGTAAGAAGAGGCAATTAGGGGCGATTAGGCAGGCAGGCAGATGAGCGGTTAGGAGCCAGTGGTCCCAGGGATATCTGGCTGCTAGTTTAGGCCCAATCCCAAGGTGTCCCCATTTAGAGAGGGTGCAGGCTGGCCTGAGGAAGCCCTTCCCCTCTGTGCATGAATTATGAATTTTGTGCACTTAGCCACTAGTAGAGAATAATGTCCTCCTATACACCCCCTACAGGGGATTGGGCCTGCAATCCAGGCATGTGCCCTGACTGGGAATCAAACCGGTGACCTCTTGGTTCATGGGTCAATGTTCAACCACACTGGCTGAGTTGGGAGTTTTTTGTGTATTTTTTTTTTTTTTTTAAGTAATGGAGGCCTTTACTTACATTCTTTTGAAGAGGTGGCAAAGGATAAATTATACTGAGCAACAAAAAAACAGTAAATCCTACATTTCTCTTAGCACATTTGTCTTTCAGTTTCTTACTCATCTCAGCAGTTGCTCTCTCCCTTCAGCTCCTCCCTCTCCTCCCCAGCTCATCCAGCTTGGTTCTCTCTCCCTCACTCCCTGATAAGGACTGCCTAATGAAAAGCCCAATTCCCAGTTAGGTTTGAACCTCAGGAAAACAACTGGTGGTGGTTTTAATTTGGGGAAACTCTCAGTCCTTATTGCTTCAAATAGTCTCTGTTCCTCCCTCTTCTGGGTTCCCCTTACATGTCTGGTGCACTTTTGCGGTTGTCTGACAATTCTGGGATATGCTGTTCTTTTTTCCCTTTGTATTTGAGCTTTGATCGTTTCTGTGGCGATAGCCTTGAGCTCAGACAGTCTTCCTCAGCCAAGTCTACAATGAGCCCGCCACAGGCCTTGTCCTTCATTTCTGGCCCAGTGCTTTGGATGCTAGCATTTCTCTTTGATTGTTCTTACCGTGTGTCTCTCTGCTTACATTCCTCACCTATTCTTACATGGTCTCGTTTTTTCCAGGAAACTCTTAGCATATTAACTGCAATTTTTAGAATTCTTTGGTTTGATAGTTCCACCACCCCTGCCATATCTGACTGGTTCTGCTGCTTGTTCTTCAAATTGTGTTTTTTGTCTTTGTGCGTGCCTGGCAGATTTTGTGGCAAGGTGGCCATGATAGTCTGATGACAGGAGCCGCAGGCACTAGGCCTTCGGTGATGTGGGAGTGTCGGGAGGGCCAGTGTCTGCAGTCCCGTGATCTCCCCGCCTCTGGACTGAGCCTCGTGCATGTTTGACAACCCCTCACCTCCGAACGGGACATGGAGGCTAGAGCGGCTGAGTTGGTTCTCTCTCTCCCCGCACATGTCTGAGGTTCTCACTCTCCCCCAGTGGGTCAGGCTCTGGGAGAGCATTTCCCACACAGCAGGCTTGTGAGGAAGGTCGGAGTGGGATGCTCTGGTGGGTTTCAGGGTGGATCCTCTTCCCCTCCGGCTGCTGGAAGCACCGGGGTTTCCTCCGGTGTTCACGGAGCACCTGGCAGCGCTCCCGGCGGAGAGCCCACCGCGTGTGGCCCCTCCCCTGGGCCCCGCTAGGCCTCGAGTTTTTAACGATAGAGTTGTCCACGCCAAGCCTCCAGCAGCTTGTCGGTGAAAGTTCCGGTTTCCTACCTGACGGGTCTTTACCAACAGGGCCTGCTCTGTGAGCGTGGCTGTCTGTCTGTGTCACCTGCCTGACCCAGTTCTGTGGGCAACCTCCGCTCTCTGTGGGGTGGAAGAGGAGTTGTGATGTTTCGCTCTGTTCAGTTTTTTACTTTGTTCTGATGGAGCAGCAACTTCTAAGATCCTTAGTGCTGATCAGGAAACTGGAATCCCCAATTAACTCAGTGTCTCTGGCACCTGGGCTTCTAGGTGTGGATTTTGCTGTGGTTTGGTGAAATTTTGCTGTTTAGCATTGGCTTTCCAGGATGTGTTTGTTTTTTCATTTGGTTTTTTGTTTTTTGTTTTTGGTTTTGTATAGGTAGCACAGGAATGGATCAACTCTCCAAACAAAGGAAAATTTTATGAGTTGAAGTTAAGAAAATTTCCTGCAGAATATAAAAAATACTGGGAGTTTGTGGGTAAGTTCTTTCTTGTGTAACTTGGAGCATATCCTGTAGAAATTGGACATTTCTATTTGAGGAAGTATCACTGGTTTTTCTGGGACATAGGTTTCTTAAGATGAATTTGTAACCTCTTACAAAGAATCTGTCTAAAGCCTTAATGAGGACAATTACTGGGACATTTATGAATAGAACATTTATGGATTTAATCATTCTGTAAATAGGATTCCACAGGCAAAGTGTTCATGGAAGGCATGGGAGAGAGGGCGAGTGAAGGGGCGAGATAGGGTGAGCGGTGGGTTGTAATCAAGTGTTTAAGATTCTGAGTAAATATTCCTACTGTCTGTCTTTTCACAATCAGTGTAAAACACACTATTACATTTATGTATCAGTTATAAGCCACATATTCAGAACTCTAAAATGAGAGCATAGTGATGAGGGACAGAGGGTGTGCCTCAGTAACCGCTTGGGGGAAGTTTGGGGCTCTTTTCCAGCTTACTTTATTTCTGTTGTCTTTTTCTTACTGGTCCTAGGGGTTCTTCATACAATCCCATGCAAGCCCTTCTGCCGCTTTGGCTTGCATTTTGACTCTCAGTGATGTCCTAAAAATTCTTTCTTTATTCTTTGTAAGAATGTATTTTTAACATAAGTGTGTGTGTGTGTGTGTGAGTGTGTGTGTGTGTGTGTGAGTGTGTGTGTGTGTGTGTGTGTGTGAGTGTGTGTGTGTGAGAGTGTGTGTGTGAGTGTGTGTGTGTGTGAGTGTGTGTGTGTGTGTGTGTGTGAGTGTGTGTGAGTGTGTGTGTGTGTGTGTGTGAGTGTGTGTGTGTGTGTGTGTGTGTGTGTGAGTGTGTGTGTGTGTGTGTGAGTGTGTGTGTGTGTGTGTGTATGATGCGCTGTGCCTGCTGCAGGTCACAAAGATCTTCCTCACCATCTAGAAGAGGAGGCAGCAACCAGTGTGAGAGCTGTCCGCACCCTGTGTGCGGATTGGCCTGGGTTCGGCTTTCCGTGTTACCGGCGTGGGGCCTGGCTTCAGGGATGAGGTTTTCTGAAGGACGGAGGGGCCGGGAAGCTGGGCTGCCCACCGGAAGGCAGTTTACTTCCGCTTCCCCCTCGGGTGTGGGCCTTCATGGCCCCACCCTGCAGCGGGGGCCCTGGACTGCAGCCGTTGTCTTTTTAGAAAATTGTACGTGTGTTGAGAGGATGTCTTTAAAGCTGGGGACAGTGAGCAAAGGAAGGAATTAGGGAAGCAGCAGCAGCAGGAGAGCCGCTGGGGGCTCTGGTTGGCTCCCGAGAAATGTTACCGCGAAGAAGGGAGCCAAGACGGGGCTGCGGTCAGCCCCTGAGCAGTCAGAAGGGGCCTGGGACACGGGTTCGGGGGCTAGCTCAGGGTGAGGGCTACTCTACCTGGTTGCAAGTCTCGGGGGGCCCTTAGGACTTGGGGAGAAAAGGTAAAGGTACACACGGGGAAGAAAGGCGCGGTGTGCCCAGCGAGGTCGGCCCAGGTGCCCCGGCTGCTGCTGCCCGAGTAGCTCAGAGCTCCTAGGGAGAGGCGGGCGCCCCTCGGATCTCAGCGGAGGAATTCTTCACTCTTGTCTGTTCTCTGAGGACTTCAAGCAGACACTCCTTATGTGCTGCATCGAAAAGCATGTTGGTTTAGTGGTTCCGTCTGCCTCCTGCCAGGACTTCCTGCTTGAGCTCAGTGTGGCGCTGTGGATTTGGCGATTGGCAGTGAACGTGGTAATCTGGTGCTTGCTCTGTTTTCCCGCCCATTCACTTTACAGCCGCTCTTTGCCCTTGTTTGAAACGCTACCCATAGGCTCAGCATTCTTATGTGTACTGGGGCTGCTCCTGGGTTTTCCCTGGGGTTTTGGAAGTGGGGAACAAAAGGTAAAATTTCTTAATTAAAAACTAAAATAAACGTGAAGGGAAGTAAACGTTTCAGCTACTTCTGAACGTTAAGTGTTGTATTTTCATCTGTCTGGGCTTTTAGCGTCTGTAAGGAACGGGATGGTCGGTGCAGTCAGTATTGTAGACTGCCCATCTGAAGTGTGGGGATCGCTGGTGCCGCCTCCGTGCTGGGGCTGGCACGGCTTTGGCTCCTGCATTTGCCCTTAGGATACTGGGGGCGGGTTCCCTGGCATGCTGTCTCCTTTGCCGTCCCCTCCCCTCCCGGAGCTCCCGGCCCTTTGGCCTCTGCAGCTTTCTATGTGCCAGCTGGCTCACTTCCCGACCTCCATTTCTTTCTGAATAAAAATTCCTCTTATAGTTTGAAAAATAAAACAATTCCATTAAGGTAAATGCTGACTTCTTCTTGTCCTCTAGTTTTTCTTGAGGAATACGAACTGTCTAAACAGCTTCACCCGAAGGAGAATGACTTGGTGTTTCTGGTTCCTGAGAGGCCGAAAGGAGAGAAGAGGGATGTGGAGCGGAACTCCATCCCGGCTTCCCAGGACTATCAGTGTGCTTACGTCCAGAAGTTTCGCCGCTCGTCCGTCAGTAAGTACCTAACAGACACTGTGGAGACGTCCCAGTGTCAGTTCCCCAGTTTCCCCCAAAGCGTCCGTCCCAGCCTGTGTTTGCTCTGCAGTTGACCTTTGAACAACACATTTGAACTGTGTGGGTCCATCTGTGCACGGATTTATTTTAGAAACTGTAACTGTATTTTCCTTATGGTTTTCATAATACATTATGTTTTTTCCAGCTTACTTTAAGAATACACTATAAATACATGTAACATTTAACATACGTAATAATCACCTGTGTTATAGGTAAGGTTTCTGGTCAACAGTAGGCTATTAATAGTTAAATTTTGGGGAGTCAAAAGTTATACCTGGGTTTTTAACTGCGAGGAGGGGGTTGGGCGCGTCTGAGCCCTGTGTTGTGTTTTTTTTCAAGGGTCAATTGTATAGTCACTGGACCTCTAGGTTGATGACTTGCCATTCAGAGTCCTCTTTTATTTTTTCTAGACTCATCTGGAAAAGATCAAATATTTATTGCTCTAGACTTATAACTTAAAAGCTTCCTTTGCAATGTCCTCTCTTTATGGTATATGTCTTCATCTGCGTTGTATTTGTTATGAAACAGACAACTTGTAAGCCACCTGTTTGTTATATCTTACATCACATTTTAACCTTGGCTTTGTGGCTCATTATGAATGTGAAGACTAAACATGTGACTAAATGTGAGACAACATGATGGGTTTACTGTTTACAGCACCTCATCTAATGGTTGTCGGGACTCCTTTCCCTGGGTTAGTATTTAATGAGCACCTCCTGTGTGCCTCATCCTCCCAAGCCCTGCAAAGCAGTAAGAATTATTTGTTCCCACCTGTCAGGGAGTGAGAGTTCAGGCATGCAAAGTGCTGCAGCCACGGTCATTCTCAGCATTACATGGAAGCCCAGACTTGCAGCCTTCTTTTGTTCGGCTGCAAAGTGCTTGTCCTTCATTGTAGGCCAGGCTGCCCTTCTGACATGGATGCTTTTTAGTCCCAGGGAGGAGAACATGAGTTTGTTACTCTTTGCCTTTCACATCAGATTTTAAAAACAGCGATGAGGCTCTTTTAAGTTCAGCATCAGGCTGCGTTGTAGCTGGTCGTGCTTACTGTCGGTGTGACCAGAGCGCAGGCTCCGTGCAGGATGCGTTTAGAGAGCAGTAACGGGACACAGGCGTGCTTCTGACACTTGCAAATGTTCACATTATCAAATGCGTATTTCTAAAGTAGTCTCTCTCCCTGAACTCCTCATGTAGCCAACCGTCAGACATCTCTGCCTTTCAAACCTCGTCCAACATCTGCTCTTCCTTTGCTAGGCAGAGCCTCTTCATCTTACACTCCCCACCTAACCCATCAGCAAATCCTATCAAGTCTTCCTTTGCAATGTCCCCGAACCCAGGCCCCAACTCCGCTCCTGCACCCAGTCCCCCCTGCCATGAACTTGCCCCTGGATGACTCAGGAGCCACCTGAGGGGCCCTTCTGCAAGTTCTTGCTTAAGTATCGCCGGATCAGGAAGACTTCCCTGACTCGTGTTTGCTGCGGTCCCCACCTCCCCCCCTCGGCACGCCCTCAGCCCTGCTGCTCTCTTCAGAGCACTTGCTCAGCACCGCTGATGTGCGGGTTCTCTGCCTCTCTCTAAAAAAGAAGCCTCCTGAGGAGAGGAACATTGCCGCTCTGAGAGGCCTGAAGAGGTAGTTATTGAGTGAGTTACTTATGTAGCATGTCCTAAGAAACCAGACGCTATAAAATACCCAATTCTGAATAGCCTTTTCACTGGACGTTGTTACTCCTGGGAACTGAAATGGCTTTTTCTCTGTCTTGCTCTAGTGCATAAAGGGAAATACGAGTGCTCCCTCTCCATCCAGACGCAGGACAGCTTCCCAGCCAGTGTGAACGACACCGTGAAATGTGTTGTCGTCAGCTCTCTGGTGACTACGCAGAGGAAGCTGAAAGCAATGTCTTTGTTGAATAGTCGAAACCAACTGGCCAGAGCTATTCTGAATCCAAACCCCATGGACTTCTGTACGAAAGATCTACTGACCACGTCATCCGAGAGAATTGTGAGTGACTGTGATCACAGAGAAAGCCTCCTGTCAGGAGGGAAAGCACCGTGTCGTGGGTGCCTGCTGCCTGTTCCTATGTCAGCAGCAGACACACACTTTATGCACAGGAGGAGGTTTAGTGCTCAGCGGTCTTTGGTGGTGCAGAGTGTGTGAGTGGGTCAGCTTGCTCCTCAGGAGGAGGTGTGCTGTAAGGATTGGAAGTGTGCCTGAGAGCAACATTAACATGTTAGGTGAGCATTGCCGTGATGGCATTAGGTGTTAAGGTTCTGGCGTAGGAGCATTGAGGGTTGCAGGTACGCATAGCTCCTTGGAAGAGCCTCCTATAAATTCCAGGAAGCTAACACAGAGAAAGGCAGAAGGAACATAGTATTGTTACCCCTGCAGTGTGCTAGGGCTTTCACGTGTGTCATCTCAGTCCGTTCTCCCCTTTCAAGGAGCCCCAGATTACAAAGTCAGGGCTGAGAGAGGGCCAGAGTTTTGAGAGCCCTCGCTTGTGAGAAACACGGAAGTTTAGGCTCAGATCCGCACCCACATCCATGCTCTTTCCACCGGATCACTTGTTTTCCTGTCTGAGGAGAGAGGTGACTAGAATGGGAAAACCGAAGAAGAAATAGCAGAGCCATATAGAACAGCTGATTGTCATCGTTAGGAGAATCCCAGTGAAAATGCGCTGTGCTCGTTGCGGGGCCAAAGCCTGCAGGCAGTACCTTTCTGTCCATGGTGGAGGCGGTTTTAGGTGAAGGGGGCCCCTGGGCCCTGCCCTGTCATTCTCACTCCTGTCTTGTGTGCAGACTGCCTTCTTAAAGGATTTCAACGAGGACCAGAAGAAAGCAATAGAAACCGCGTATGCCATGGTGAGACACTCCCCAGCGGTTGCCAAGATCTGTCTGATTCACGGGCCACCGGGAACAGGGAAATCGAGAACCATCGTTGGCCTCCTGTACCGCCTGCTGACCGAGGTAAAGACGCCGGGGTCTGTGCTGTGGCGGAGGGCGTGCCACGCTGCCCTCGAACTAACCGATGTGTGCCTCTCTTCCTGTCAGTGTGCCTTTGTCACTGTGTGGCCTTTACCAGGGCGGGGGGTGGATGGGGGGTGCGGGAGGGGGTGGGGGTGGGTTAGCACAGAGAGAGAGGTTCTCGGAAATAAAAAGGGCAGAAAATGCTGTCTTGGGTGAAACCAATCCTAAGGGCCAGAGGGTGGTCTTCTGGTTGCATTACAGCCACACCTGCCAGGCAGCCGTCTGAGGGTCTTCCTGGCTGCATTTTGGCCGGGTTGAATACTGATAGAGTAAGGCGCAGGAGGTTGGGAGGAGATTGTGTGCCAGAGGAATGCCAGCATCAGTGCGAGCTGCAGATGCTTGCAGACAGGGGAACTGCCGTCGGGAGCAGGTGGACATGGAGGAGAGATGCACTGGCACATCGGGCTCATCGCTGTTTTGCTTGTTTGGTGCATGTGGCGAATGCGGAACCAGAAGAGGGGGCAGCTGGATGAGAACTCCAACGCCAAGATTAAGCAGAACCGAGTGCTTGTGTGCGCGCCTTCCAACGGAGCAGTGGATGAGCTGATGAAGAAAATCATCCTCGAGTTCAAAGAGAGGTGTAAAGACAAGAAGAACCCGCTGGGTATGGCACTGCGGGGCTGCGCGTCAGTGTTTGTTTTTAGTGTTGAGTGTGGGCAGCTGCGAATGATAAAGAGCAAGTCCTTCCGTGGTAACCTGTCCGTGGGTGGGCCCTCTGTCCTTAGCGATTCCTGTAGCAAGTACTGTAAGCGTTTTCCCGGTGCCAGGCACTGTGCTGGGGGCGAGGTTTCAGCAGTGAAGCCTCCGGAATAAGGTGACCAGACGTCCTGCTTTTGGTGGGACAGTCCCAGTTTTTGGAAAGACAAATTGTTAAAAATCGGGACGTCTGATTACCTTACTCCGGAAGACAGTCCCGGAGGAAGAGGATGGAAGTGTGGGAAGTGAGAGGACCAGCTGTAAGCTCTCTGTCCAAGTGGTTCTCAACTTTCCAACACCGCGACCCTTTCACACAGCTCCTCATGCTGTGGTGACCCCCGACCATAACATTATTTTCCTAACTAACTTTGCTCCTGTTATGAATCATAATGTAAATATCTGTGTTTCCCGATGGGCTTAGGCGGCCCTGTGAAAGGGATCTCCACCCCCAGGTTGAGAACCGCTAGTAGGGTCGCTTAAGACCAGGGAATGTTCTAAAAAACATAATTTGAGAAACATTAGGATAATGTTTGCAATGTCATGTGTTTTACAACCTCGCCAGCTTTCATTAAGTAGAAATGGTAAGTACTTATCTTATAGGGTTGCTACGAAGACTGTCTAAAATGCTGTGGAGTTCCAGGCATCCAGTTTATTAGTTCACATTAGCTCCCTCCTCTGATTGATGTATTTGCTTAGAAGTATACATGGCAATGGAGAGGGATTGGCTGTGTCCTCATTAATCTCTGAAATGTGATTCTTACAGGAAACTGTGGAGATATCAATCTAGTACGTCTGGGTCCAGAAAGATCTATTAATAGTGAGGTCCTAAAGTTCAGCTTGGACAACCAAGTTAACCACAGAATGAGTAAGTCCTGAATACGGTTCATACTAACGTTAACTCTGCTTCCTTTTGGACAATGGACAGTGGCTTGGGCATTTAAGCTAACGGGGAGACCTTAGCGGTAGGGTGGCTTTGACAGCTAGTTTTTCTTCTCATTATGCATGTGTGTGTGTGCGTGTGATTGAGCATACAAGTATTTATCTTTTTTCCTTTTTTTTTTTTTTTAAGAAAAAGACTTACCTTCTTACGTTCAGGAGATGCATAGAAGAAAGGAACATCTAGACCATCAACTAGATGAGCTTTCCCGCCAGCGTGCTTTAAGCCGATATGGAAGAGGAATCCAGGTAGCTAAACAGTTCTTGCTGAATGTTTTTAATATATCATAGGTACACAAACTAGTTGGTAAGTATTTGGTGCCATTTTTCATTGTGGTATAGCATAATTTGTTGATAAAAATTTAGACCCAAGTGGTATGCGTTAAACTTTTTTTGAAAAGGACAAGATAGTAAACAGTCTAGATGCAGGTCTCTGTTTTGACTACTCAGCTCTGCTGTGGTAGCACAGAAACAGCAGGAGTTAGACCATCCTAAACAAAGGGGTGTGGCTATGTTCCAATAAAACTTTATTTACAAAAACAGATGGCGAGTTGAATTTGGTCCATAGGCTGTAGTTTGCTGTTGCCTGCCTTGTACTAAAATTGTACTAAATTCACTAAGTATCTTTTGATTACAAATTAAATTTAATCCAAGTTAAGTTAGACAAATCCTGGCTGGGTAGCTGAGTTGGTTAGAGTGAGGTTCTGATATTAAGGTTGCAGGTTCAATCCCTGGTCAGGGCACATATAAGAATTCAGCCAGTAGAGTGCATAAATAAGAGGAACAACACATCGATGTTTCTCTCAAATCAGCATATAATTTTTTTTTTAATATAGAAAAAAGTTAAGTTAGACAGAAACGGAATTCACTGGCACCTAGACCTGGGACATCTAAGAAGGTTTAACTTTAGCAAATGACGCCATTTCTCCACCTTAATCTGTTTGTCTGTGAGTCAGCATTTCTTCTCGCAGAGCAGGCTGAGCGCCAGCATCTTGAGCTCCTCCCCAGCTGAGAAGGCCTTAGCCTGGGTGTGCAGCAGGCACATCCCTGTGCTGGGGAAAGGTGCCGGGGGTGGCCAGGCCTGCATTACCGCCTGCGCTGTGGCCAGAGGTGGCGGAGGTGTGATTGGCAGCCTCATTTCACCTGCCTGGAAATGAGTGAAGGAATGACAGCCCAAGGGTTGGGATGCTCTGAAGGAGCACAGGCCATGTACTGGCCCCGGCGGAATTTACACAGTCAGAGTGCCTGCTGCCAAGAGGAGCCTGGGTGCCAATCCTGCAGCAGCCCATGAGAGAGGTGGATCCCTCACAGGCCCCAGAGGAAAGACACAGCGCATCCTGAGGGGCCACGGAGGTCAAGGCAGAGTGCAAGCAGGGAGGCAGGGTCTGGGGCGCGTGCCTTTATTAGGGCCCGTGAGTTGGAGTGCTTTGGGGTTCCCAGGCTAAGGCCGGATTGGTCAGTTCAAACAGCTCAAACTCCCGGGGGGTGTAAGCACAGGATGTTCAAGGCAAACAGGCCCTGGGGCAGGGACATTGGAGAAATCTGTCAGGAGCTACAGGTGCTGTGACTGGGCTACTGCTTCAGCACGGGCATGTGGAAGGGCCAGAGTCGGCTGAAGGTGTGCAGGCTGCTTGGCCAGACAGATGGTGTGGAGTCGCTCCGCCTAATTCTGGAGCCGCAGTGATGCAGCGCCGCCAGGCCAGACTTGGGAAGAGGCTCCCCTTTGAAGTGCGGCAGTCCCCTGGGGAGCATTTAAATGCTTACTTAACTTTGATTTTTTTCCAGAGGCACGAATTAGATGAAAAAATTGCCCAAGTTTCAAAAGAAAGGCAGGAACTTGCATCTAAAATTAAAGAGGTAAGTGCTTTACGTAGAGCATTTTCCTGTTTTTTCTTTTCTTTTTCTTTATCATGTCATAGTTGAGATAACCTCTGGGCTTTTATCAATTGCATTTAAAGTTTTTTCCATTCTGAGAAATTTCAAACAAATATAGAAGTGGAGATGGTGTAATTACATATATATTTACATTGTTTCTTTAGCCTAATAATGAGTTCTTATCACTCCTGAGATTTCTAAGGAAGAAGTGACTATAGACTAGCTTTCCTTTTCTAGGTGTGGGTAAGTATTAAAGCCTCTTGTCGGGGCCTCTGCTCCGCCTCCCCCCGAACTGCAGCACCAGCTGTCACTGGCCAGCTGCGTATGAACAAAGAGCAGTTGTGGTGTTTTCCTGTTAAGAAGAAAGAAAACTACGCGTGTCTGAGCCCAGCGCAGTGCCTGGCAGCTCCGTGTTGCCTGTCCAATAGCACAGGGTTCCCGTGGGGCCGGGGACAGGGCGGATACCCACAGCGAGGCTAGCTGTGCTTCTGAGAGACTTCTCTTCTGAATGTATCGCCAGCCTTCTCTGTGGCTGTCACGCTGCTGTTCCCTTGCTGTTGGCTGAGAGCAGTGGGTGCTGAGCCCTGGGCCCACCGTGCCACCCCTGCCTGAGCTCACGGCCTGGGTCATGGGGTCAGCAGGCACAGGCTGACCAACTCTGCTGAGTGTGCTGGCTGTGCAGTGCGGTGTCATCACACTGCCTGCTCCGCCACAGCCCATGTGTCTTTAATCTGAAGTTTCTGCTGTTTTTCTAGATGGTGGCTCTCCCCTGACATTTGCTAAATGTTATTCTGTCACATAGTAAAGATGGTGCTTTGTAGGAAAGTCGCCTGCCGTGGCCTAGAATTCACAGACAACTGAAGGGTAACGAACCTTTGTTGTCGTCTCAGGTTCAAGGGCGCCCACAGAAAACCCAGAGCATCATCATCCTGGAGTCCCACATCATCTGCTGCACCCTGAGCACGAGCGGCGGCTTACTGCTCGAGTCCGCTTTCCGGGGCCAAGGAGGAGTCCCCTTCAGCTGTGTCATCGTGGACGAGGTCAGTGAGCGGCCGCTGCGGCGCGGACTAGTGCTTGCCGCGGCGGAGACGAACAGGGCTGCTGAGGTTGGACACGGTGACTGCGCACCAGAGTGCACCTGCCGTTACCTAGTCCTTCGCGGTGACACGGGCTGCCCTCCCTGGGCACTCCCAGTGGTGGGGTTGGACACTGCCTCCCAGACCCTCCAGGGCCTGTCTGGCTGCTCGGAACAGCCAGGCTGGCTGCCTTTGGCAGCATTTTAAATGTGACTGGACAGCTCTGAGCCCCAGTGTTTTCCTCGTTCATTCGCTGAGCATTTGTTAGGTCCCTGCTGTGTATCAGAGGTAGAGCCAGAGGACAAAGGGATGAGAATGAGATATGGAATGGGTCCGGAGGCCACAGGTCCCTGTCCCCAGTGAGAAGGCGCATGCGGGCTGCTGAGGACCAGGAGAAGGCGGTGGGGGGGGGGGGGCGGGGGGGGGGGGAGTGTGACCCGGCAGGAACAGAGGACCAAACCTGGGCAGTCCGTGGCTGCTCGCTCGTGGCTGGCTCCCAGGTATCTGTGGCACCTGAGTGGTGGCTGACTTCAGCATCCACGTGTGGTCTTCATTGAGTGTTTTTGTTGTGTGGTGTTGGTGTTCGGTGCAGAGGGAGAAAGTGGTTCTTTCTGGCTGGGTGAGGCTGTTGTGCAGTAAACTGCATGCGGGTGAATGGAAAGGTGACTGAGCTGGTCTCTCCCGCGCTTTGCTCGCAGGCCGGGCAGGCTTGTGAAGTGGAGACCCTCACCCCCCTCATCCACCGCTGCAACAAGCTCATCCTCGTCGGGGACCCGAAGCAGCTGCCCCCCACCGTCATCTCCTTGGTGAGTCCCCCGTTCCCCCGCTTTACGCGGCCGGGCTTTTGGGGGCGGGCGGAGGGCAGGAGGGTCTTTGCTGGACCATCGTCTCTCATTTGCAGGGAAAGCTGTCGGAATTGCTGGAAAAAGAGAACCACCATTTGAGTCTTCAAGTGTCTAACAGTTCCCCCTTGTTGGTAATTGTGCTATGTTTGTGTGTGAAGGAGCCGCGCCAGGGGCCAGAGGCCAGAGAGCCCGCTCCATGAGCGCTGGGCTTCTCTGAGACACGCAGAGCACAACTGCTCTAACGGCTGTGTCTGACTTATTTTAATAATGGACACCAAAACGAACTTACAGCGAGGGAAAGAACCCCACCTCCTGCTTTATGTTTACATGCGTACACATCTGGGGAAATCTCACACAGACACAGAGAACATGTGCAGCTTTAGTTCTGTCCCCTGTAATACAAGTGCCCGTGGCCTCACCGCGGGGAGGAAGGTGATGGGAGGGCGACTGTGCTCTGTCTGGGAGACAGACACCAGCATTGCATCCCCCCACAGCCCGCCTTGCGTCTGGCTACCCGAGGGGCACGCCACACGGGACTTAGTGGGTGTTCGGGGTTATCTGAGGGCTGGACCCCGATTTGGAATTTAAATCACGTATTTCAAAGCGGTGCGGGTCCGTTTGGTGAAGAGCCCCAGCAGGTAATGAAAAGGGCTGTTGATGGCCTCAGTTTGCTGCCTGCCTGGTGATGGATGAAAAATAAAAGTGAGGAAAACCCATTTGGGTTTTTTTTTAATTGCAAAAATAATGCAGGCTTATTGAGGAAAGTTCAGAAAATAAGTACCAAGCTCATTTCCTCCACCTCTTTCCAAGGACAATACTGAACCAGGTAAGGGAGTGTTTGAACTGGCATTTGTGTGCTCACGGACACACCTTGTTCAGCCTTCACTTATGGAAGCCGCCCTGCCCTTGTGAGCTTGCGTCCTAGCGGGGACAGACGAAAGTCCCCGAAGGATGGCCTGTCTGGTGGCTGTCAGGTGTGTGCACGTGTGGACATGTGTAGGGCGTGGCCTTGTCTAAAGTGCAGAATCCTGTGCCGATTGGTTGATTGCCACCCAGGAGTGTCCTTCTGGGTCAGAGTGTGCACATGGATGTGGGTTTCTGGGGCAGGCTCAGCTGTTTCCTGGAAGTAGGTGTATCGCTTCATATAAGTCCCCCACCCCCCCAAGAGAATGTTTAAAATGAGGTTTCAGCTAATTTGAATATTAAACTTTTGGGGATGTAAATGGAATTGTCGAATGATTACTAATATTTATTTAGTTACAAAATCCTACTTAAATTCACCTATACAAACTATTATTTAGAAGTAATGTCATTTTCTCCACTCTGCAGTTTGTGAAGCAGGTGTGTCCAAGCTTTGCACGTACAGCTGCAATGCCCCTGTCCACACCACCGCTCAGGAGGAGTTGCCCTCTTAGTGTGTTTGTCAGAGCACACTTTTGCTTCTAGATCATTTGACAAAATGCTTTTCAAGTCTTGGTCTGATGGCCACATTGAAAAATATATCCCAAAGTACAACCACGATAACCTGAGGGCAGTTTGCCAGAGGTGCTTGCCTTACTGGGGGTGTGAGATCACCCCAGTCAGTCAGTGGTCAGCTTCCCTCACAGGCGTAAGTTCTGTGAGGCTGGCTCTGGCCGGCGGAGATGTCTGCGTATACGTGGGAGGACGGTCCAAGCGATCAGTCTTTAGAAGGGCTTGTTTACAGTGACAAGGAATATTTCTGTTTGTTGAGGGCCTGGCACAGAAATAATGGTTAAAACCTGTGTTATAGTTTTTGCTTTTTTCATCACTGGGTCGGGTGACCTCTGTTAGCATCAGAACAGCTTCAGTGTGGTCATTCACAAGGTCATGTCCTTTCATGGCAGTGTGAGCGCTTCCACATGGCCCACCTCCATGGCTTCTCAAAGTCAGGGTCAGAAACATCTTTCTCTCCCTGGCCGGTTTGGCTCAGTGGATAGAGCATTGACCTGTGAACTGAAGGGTGGTGGGCTTGATTCCGGTCAAGAGCATGCACCTCAGTTGCAGGCTTAATCCCCTGCCTTGGACAGGTGGTATGCAGAAGGCAACCAATTGATGTGTCTCTCTCCCATCGATGTCTCTCTCTGGCTCTCTCATCCTCCCTTCCACTCTCTCTAAAAATCAGTGGAAAAAATATCCCCAGTTGAGGATTAACAAAAACCCACCTTTCTCTGACCGGTTGTTGGTAATGGCCCGAACCTTGCTGTGTACCTCAGAGCTCAGTGACTTTCTAACTGGGGCCAGCACAGCCGCACAGTCTGATAACCAGGTGACTGCTTCTCCCTGCAGACGGCGCAGGAGTTCGGCTACGAGCAGTCCATGATGGCCCGCTTCTGCAAGCTGCTGGAGGAGAATGTGGAGCACCACGTGAGCGCCAGGCTGCCTGTGCTGCAGCTGACCGTGCAGTACAGGATGCACCCCGACATCTGTCTCTTCCCCTCCAACTACATCTACAATAAGAGCCTGAAGACCAACAGGTGGGCGCTCCCGCCGAGCCCGTTTGGCTGCAGGACTAAAGAGCAGTTCACTGTGTTCTCCAGTCTTGTCATGAAAAGTATACATCCAAGGTTCAGTAATATTCCCTAATTATAAAAGTCGCAGATAAGCAAAAAGGGAAAACCACTGAGGTTTATATTATACTACCCAGAAATGGTTACTGCTGTCATTTTGGTGTGTCTTCTGGTCTGGGTACTATTCACATATTTTTTAATTTTTTTAACTAAAAAAATCCTACTGGATCCAACATAGAATTAAATGGCTTTCTTTAGGTGGTGTGTCATGAGTAACTTGCCAGTTGTAATGGCTGTGTTTAATTACACAGCTCATCCTCCCTAGCACTAGACTAGAAATACGGTAAGATGCATCGTGTGCCTTTCACAGAGCACACACTGCATTTGAAGGTCCTTCCTGTGCCCTCGCTCCCCAGCCTCCTCCGAGCAGGGGAAATGGTACTAAGAGTAAAGCGCTTCCTGTAACCTGACTGCTCCGAACGGGGCTGCTTTCTCGTAGAGGGACCGAGAGCACCCGGTGTCTATCAAAATGGCCGTTCCAGCCCTACCTCGTGTTTGACGTCAGAGACGGCTCGGAACAACGGGAAAATGAGTATGTTCTCCCCTTAGCCGCTCCCCACGGCGGTCCCAGCATTGTCGCACTACTTGTGTTCGTGTTTATATTTAAGACACCGACGTTGTGCACGATCATTTATAGTTAGCCAGGTTTGCTTCCCCGGCCGTTAGTTGTGTGGCTCAGGCGGCAGGACTGAGGGGCAGTGTCGGCCCCGGAGTCACTGCTGCGGGGTGTGTGTGTGTCTGTGTGTGTGTGTGTGAGTGACCTGCCTGCCTCCGGCAGCAGTGGCGGCCACGTGGCACTTCAGTTAGCGGCTGGGCTGCTGTTAGGTTTTTGTTGTGGTTTTTGGCTGCTGTTAGTTTTGATGTGCTCTTTTCCCCCTCTTCTTTAGCTCATATGTAAATCTTCAAGAAATCAAAGTGGTGATAGAATTGGTTAAACTTCTCAAAGATAAAAGGGACGTCCGTTGCCGAACCATTGGCATAATCACCCATTACAAGGCTCAGAAGGTGATGATTCAGAAGGAGCTGGACAAAGTGTTTGAAGAAAAAGGGTGAGGCATCCAGTTTGTACAGACTTTCCCAGCTCCTGTTTGCTGAACGGAAAGGAAGCGTGTGGGGCGTCAGCCGGGCCAGCACAGGACACTGGGTCGGGTGGGCGCGCTGGCCGCCCTGTGGACAGCCTCCTGCCATCGGGCTGGCCATCGGGAGCTGATGGCGGAGTGACTGCAGCTCTCGGCCTTTCCCTGTAGTTCCAGACGGCCGGTGCAGGTCACATTGTCATGTTCCTGTCTCCTTCCACCTCAGCAGTAAAACTAAAGATTAAATATTGGAATCCATTAACTCAAATGTGCCTTACCCTAGAAACACACAAACTCCTGGCATTGATGCTAGAAAAAGTAAAGAGATGGAGTTAGTAATCAAATACTTTCCCACACAGAACTCGGGGCAGGTTGTAGATGGGGAATAGATGTCGGTCGCTTGTACAGTCAGGCAGGCAGTTGTAAGAGGCAGGACGCGCTGGCACGCTGCGGCACAGGGGAGGCCACGCATGGCGTTCCACTGACAGGAAATGTCGGTGTTGGAGTCAGAGGTGGACAGCAGGTCGTGGAGCCAGGGCCTGTGGGGGAGGGGAAATCAAGACAGGGGCTCTCCCTCGGGCCATGGCAATGCGGTGGAATTCGTGGTGATGGCTGCAGCCCACAGCGAATGGGCTTGAAGACCGTTGAGAACCGTGTGCTTTCCCATGTGAGTTCTGTACACGTGCAGCACATGTCCATAGGACAGCCCCATGGAAAGGCTCCTGAGGAGCAGTGCTCCGTGGCTATGTCCGTTTAATAATCCTCTCTTCTTACAAACCTCTTCCGCCAACAGGCTGGCAGAGGTGGACACTGTGGATGCATTCCAGGGCCGCCAGAAAGACTGCGTCATTGTCACGTGTGTCAGAGCCAACGCCATGCAGGGCTCCATCGGGTGAGTGACTGTCGTGCTCGAGTTTCTAGGCTGTGAAATGGCTCCTCTGTTGCACTTACTCCTCTGATACCTTGTGTGCTAATTAACCATGGCGGTGTGAATCTGTTTTTCTGTTTAATCAGAGTGAAATAGTCACTGGGTCAGTGTGTCCTGCAGGGTCTGCTCTTCTCCCGGGATGTGTCAGAACGTGGTTTTTCCTGCTCGCTCTGTGTTCCCGCTTCGGCAGAGTCTGTCAGCCTCAGCGGCGGTCCGGGACTTCCCAGAGAGGCTCGGGCGCCGTGGTGGGTGTCAGGAAACTCTCCTAGGTCTCGGGCTCAGAGTTTTCTCTTCTCATAACTAGCAGATGGACTTTGCAGATTACAAGCGTTTCCTTGTTCTTAAGGAAACGCACCTGAATTTCTCTCCGCCCCTGCCCCGAGGTGCCTGCATATCCACACGGAGAGGCCAGTTACCTCTGGACCACTCTGTAAACAGTCTCTTCTTTCCCCGCTACCCTGACATCTCAGCTTCATCGTGTAGCAAGCAGTTCTGTCATTTCCCAGGTCTTTCTGGCCTGCTGTTAGATTTGTCTCATGTTTGTGTGCTTCTGCCCTAGTTCCCTCGTATTTTTGTAATCTCAAATATACTTATTTAAGAATAATCGACCTAGTATCATCTGTTTAGGACAGATGTCTTTAAGGCTTAAAAATCACACTGTTAAAATTTGCAGCATCTCATTTAAGTCAAGATGGGAAGATGGACAGATGCCCCCTTTGAGGGAAGCACGGGGTGTTTTGTTCCCTCTTTTTAAGGGGGATTGCTTCTGTGACTTTAAAAGTCAGAGCCCACGAGAAACTGAGTCTCCACAGAAAGAAGTAACTGTTTTCTGATCGCCTAGGTTCCTGGCCAGTCTGCAGAGGTTGAACGTCGCCATCACTCGAGCCAAGTACAGCCTCTTCATCCTCGGGCATCTGCGGACCCTGATGGTAGGCCCATGGGTGACAGAACTCCGAGTCCGTCTGGCGTCACTGACCGGGGTGGTCGATGGGTAGTTCTGACTCTCCGTGAGCATGGAAGGGCTTCGGGGCACGTGGTGGCATGAGAGAACGAGCCTCTTTCCAGAGCTGTGTGTCCCCAGCAGCTTCTCCCTGGAGCTTTATATGGAGCTACTCACCTGCCTCAGCTGGAGGCCAGGCAGCAAGTGTCCTCTCGAGGTGACCTCTAAAAAGTGTACCTGCAGCACAGGGCGGGTAGGGATGTGTGACTCTCAATCGTGAAGTGCTAGCAATTGTCAGTGTGGCTGTGCCGGCCCCGCAGGACGCCGCAGCCAGGCGCGGGGAGAGCCAGAGCTGCTGTAGCCCACCGCGGCCTGCAGGCCCGTTTGGTGGACAAATGGCAGCCTCCTTGGTGCGAGCACTGCCAGCTAAAGCTTGTGTTTGCTCCTAGTCTCAGTGGGGGGGGCTTTCGGTTTTCTTAATTTTTTCTAAGTTCTCTTAGGTGAGATTTCCCCATTTTGGTTAGTACCACCAGAGGGCGCTCAAGTATTATCTTTCTCATTCAACTGTTCACCGATCTTCAACAACTGTGTTGTACCCTTAGAAGGATTTTTTAAAGCTGTGCACCTCCTGTTCTTAAGCTTAAGTGTTGCTAAAGGCCCGACACTCAATCTTGAATGAAGGGGTTTTGCCCTTTGGGGTTTGGGAGGCCCCTGAGGATTTGGTGGAAGCTCGGTGCTTGTCTGAGCAGTGACAGGCCCTCAGAAGTTGGCCTTTTGGAAGCCAGGTGTCAGTACCAGTTCCAGGTGTCAGTACCTTGCATGAGGCTGGCAGGGCCAGACCAGTGGGCAGGGCGCTTCCTGGGATGAAAGTGAAGTAAGTGCCCCGTCTGCAGTGCCCGCACGCTGGTTGCTGATCACGGCGCCTGCGGAGCCTGTGAAGGTGCTGGTGCTCTGCAGGCCTCCTGCACTTGGTGTTAATTAGTCTTTGTTTAAACCGCTCCTCAGGGCTGCCGGGGGGTGGGTTCTGCCCCACAGGGTGGCCTCTCTAAGGGGTGTGGGGCCGTGTACTGGCTGGAGAATCTGTTCCTGAAGGTCTGCTTCTTTGTTCATAAGCAAAGCTGGGCCTGCTGCTCCCCAGTGTGTGCGTGTTTGTGGGTCTGACTGCCCCCCCCTCTCTTGGTTTCAAGGACAATCATCATTGGAACCACCTGATCCAGGACGCACAGCGGCGGGGCGCCATCATCAGGACCTCCGACAAGAGCTATAAGCATGACGTCACCAAGACCCTAAAGCTCAAGTCGGTGCTGCAGCGGAGTCTGACCTACCCTCCCTCGACAGCCCCCGAGGGCAGCAGCCCCCAGGACAGCAGCCTGGACAACGCCCCGAACCCGGCACCCCTGGACCCCAGGGAGGCTGCTGCCTCCGCTGCTGGAAAGGACCCTGAGCGGCCTCCTGCTAAGGACCAGCCTCGGGACCCACGGCTGTTCAGGAGGATGGAAGCCTCAGCGAACTCCCTGCGGAGCCTGGAGCCCTGGAGCCCCCAGCAGCCGGGAGCAGCCTCCCCCGCCCCCTCCGCAGAGCCCAGCTTCCCTCACGGGCCAGGCGGCCCTCCTGCCGCCAGCGCGGACTCCTCCAGTAAAAGCGACCAGAAAGGGGGTCAGAGCCGCCAGAGAGAGAGCAGGGCTTCCCGGGACAGGGGCCAGGAGCTGCTCAGCCCTGGGAGCCGTCGCCCCAAGAGGAGCTCCAGCCGGGACGATGGGCGGACCCAAGAGGACGACAGCGGTTGGAAGAGGAGGCGGCTCTAGTGAGCCGGGCGCGGGCAGCCGCACACCCGCAGGCGGCTACGGGGACCGGCAGCTACAGCTGCTTTTTCTCGGAGGAGGGCGGGTGCCGTGGGGGGACAGGGGAAATGGAACTGAACCTGAGCCTGTTGCTCATCCTCAGAGCTTTTTGTCCGCTGCCAGGACTCCAGAGGGCGATGTGCTAGGACAAGGCCCTGAGGAGCAGCTTGCAACGTTGACCTCTTGTTCTTCCATAAAAGGCTGGGTCAGACTGGAGCGGGTATTGTAAAAGCTGAAGTGTATATTTGTACAGCAAAGAGCAGAATCCTTTTAAGATTTAATCTAGCAGACCACTCTTCTCCCTGCTTACAGTGAGTCCTTCCGCCAGGGCACACTGTGACGGAGGAGGAGGGCAGAGGCGGGCTGAGCCCTCTGCTGCGGGTGCCACAGGCGGGCCTGGGGCAGGCGGGCACTGCTGGCCAGTGTGTCCGGTTCTGTTTACAGAGGGAGGGCAGGGCACTGGGAAGCAGAGATCTGTTAGGTCAGGTTCTGATGGACGTTTCTAGGCTAGGCCCCTTGGCACAGACAGGACGTGTCTTTGAGGGATTCAGCTGCCTTTGCATAGGCGCACAGCTCTGACAGAAATCCTCCTTCCTGCCACAGAAGACTGCCGTGAACTGAGCCTTGAGTGAGCGTTCAGACACCAGCATGTTGTGAGCTCCTATAACGGGGAGTTCCCAGTTCAGAGCTGGGCCAGGGCGAGGCTGGTGCTGGGCAGCTCCCGGCCCTCTCAGCCCTGAGAGAGCTGGCAGGCTGCAGGGCCCAGCCGAGTGGCCAGTTTAGGTGAACCTGGAAAGCTCCATGTTACACATCGGGGGCGGAGGGGCCGCGAAGGGGGTGGGGTGGGAGGGAGATCCCGGCAGCGTGGGAGCCACGAGGCAGGCGGGGTAATGCAGGTGTCCCAGAGAAATGTACACACTCGGCAGCTGCCGGATGGGGGTTTCCTTTGCGGATGTCACCATTGGGCTGTATCCAAAGTGTGTGTGCCTTCAGAGTGGACGCCCTGACCTTTGGCAGGAATGAAACACCTTTCAGAGGCCGGGAGAGGGCGTGGGAACTTGGAGTTGAGAAGCGGGAAGAGCTTCGTGGTGGTGGGTGTGCGAGCGTCTGGTGGAGGAGCTGCTGCAGTTGGGGGTGCGCAGTGGGAGTCAGACGGGAGGGAGGGGCCGCTCCTGAGACACTTCCCCAAGCACGTACAGAGCCATTGGGGTCTCAGGAGCGGCCCCTTCCCCCCACCGCCGGCTGCAGCCACTGGCGGGAGGGGTAGGAAAACCAGCCCTGAGGCGAGCGCATTAGAGGTTTCTGGGCCTCTGCTGTGAGCAGGGAGGGCTCTGTTAGTCAGAAGCTACTCCTATGCCGCATGGACTCCTGCGGCTGCCACGAGTTTAAACAGTCTGCTGTTCACTGCCTGCCCCTCCCGGCGCGGGACAGCCCCGCCGGGAGCGCGTGTCCGGCGGGGGGGGGGGGGGGGGGGGGGGCAGCGTTACTTTGTTTCCCTCTCCCGGTAAAGCGCTCCGCTCAGCAGATACTCGGACAGTGACAACAGTCCAGAGTCTAACACTCTGCAAGCTAGCAGTGGAGGCAGACAGGATTGGTGAGGTGGTCGCCCTCGGCAGCAGCAGGCGGCTGCCATGCCCAGCAGTGTTCTTTCAGAGAAGTTGGAGCCTGTTCTCACGTGTTGGCTCCCCTGGTGTGATGGTGCGTGCTATCGTGTGAGACCGCATCATCCTTCCAAGAGTGAGCCTGTGCCCGGCAGCTCTCCCGGCAGGGCACATGGCACCTGCCCTTGCCTCGGGAACCCTTGGTGGCTCGGTTGGTAAAAGCATTTGCATAGAGCGTCCCACCTGTGCGTGTGGCTTCTCGCCGTGGCTGCCAGGGTGGCACGTGGAAGGGCTGCCTGCGCCGTCCAGGCTGGGGCGTCGCAGGAAGTGCCTGCTTCCCTCCCAGCTCCGTCATGAATGTATCCCGTTGACCTTGTTTCCCATGTGACCTGCCTGGGTTTCCTGTGCACAGCTTGTTTAGATACATGTCCTCATATGTCAGCAGGAGAGTTTTGATAAATACATGTGAATAATCTGTAAATGAGTTTTATAACCAAGATGTACCTAAACTATTTTCTAAAGTGAGTTGTGCACATTATATTTTTGCTGGAGCTTTGACTTTTTCTATGCTCTGAATTCCCAGGTGGGATTTGGCAAACTTCAGGCCTGTCATCCTTGTTAAAGCCTACGTTTTAAGAGAAAATAGCAGAATTAAAAAGTGGAAACTCAGCTGGCGTGGGCTAGGAGTTCTCTGTTACTAAACGAAGGTACAGCATGCCGCCTGGCCGTCCTGCCCAGGCTGCTATTGGCATTGTTTTATGCCAGGTTACGTGGCGGGTCTGTTTTATTCAGTGTGTCCTCCAGCCCCTCCTCTCCGGCTTCCCAGCTCTCTGGAATTGTTTGCAAGGCAGTGAGTGCTCGGCCCCCGCAGGAATGCACGCTCCCGTTGGGCTGAGACTGGGGACGGCAGGGACACGTGCACGGGCATCTGAGAGGAGCTCCCAGGGCCCCTGGTGCCAGGTCAGGGCACTTGCTGACGGGCACAGGGTGGACCCAGTTTGATGAAAGCGGGAACTTCAGGGATGGAGTCAGACTTCGGCTGTTGGGAGGAACGTGCCCTCGGCCTCAGAGACACTGGCCCAGGGGAGCGAGCAGCCAGCCGCGGGCACAGCTTCCCAGGGCGGGGTCATGTGTCTGGGAGTTCTGGGCGTCGGTGAGGGTGGGTGCCCTGCGAGGACCGTGGCGTCGGAGGACTTGTCACACTGGAGCGGCGGTCTTACAGCCCTCCTGCCCAGCTGAGGTGCAGCCCCCCCCCCCCCCCCCCCCCCCGTATCGCCCTGCATTCGCCGTTAGTGGAATAAACAGGGAGGAAGCGAAAACAGCCCAGCTCAAATAGACATCGTGTTGTGTCGCTGAGGGCGGTTTCTCTGCACGTGGGATTTCTGAAGGCCCCGAGTGTCCTCTCCTGCACAGGACATTGTCCAGACAAGGGCATAAATGGTGCCGCGGCGGCCGGGTGGTGGGAGCACTGGGCCTGGCTGCTGCCCCCGCAGCCCGTTCCCCGCAGCACGGCTCTGGACAGTCATTAGCCCGGTGCTCAGCCACGGGCACTGTGGTCACCGGGGAGCTTCTGAAGCCTCCGCCCCCGGGCTCCGGCCTGGAACGTCTGAGTGAGTGAGTGCAGCCAGTGCATTAAGGTGAGCAAGTCGGCCTAAACGGGTGACCTGGGGCCAGTGTGTTCAGGTGATTCTCGGGCCACTGACCAACGCGCACTCCGCAGCTCACCCCTTCGGAGCCATAAAGCCTCTGTTAGAGTGTGAGCCAATGGAAGTGAAAGGCCAGCGTGGAGTCCCCAGCAGACTGGCATCAGCATGGGAACTGGACGTCACTAATGGGGACCGCCACTCCCCGCCCCTCCCCACCCCACCTAGTTGAATGGTGTAGAGCCTGGGCTCCTCACCCACGGGTGGGAGAGGAAGTGGACAGCAGCTGGCATCATGGACAGCAAGGCCAGCAGTGTTGTGAGCGCCACCTGTGTCCACTTGTTTATCCTCACCACCACCATGATACAGGTCACATTTATTTTATTTTATTTTATTGATTTTGTACAGAGAGGAAGGGAGAGAGAGAGTTAGAAACATTGATGAGAGAGAGTCATCGATCAGCTGCCTCTTGCACACCCCCTACTGGGGAATGTGCCCACAACCAAGGTACATGCCGTTGACCGGAATCGAACCTGGGACCCTTCAGTCCCCAAGCCGACGCTCTATCCATTGAGCCAAACCGGTCTCGGCGCAGGTAACATTTTTATGCCCCCATTTCACAGATGAGGAGACCGAGGCACAGAGAGACTGGATCCCTTGCCCACGGTCACCAGGTGGTCAGACTCCAGAGTAGATGCCCTTCACCACCATCCCCTCTGCTTTGGGGACCACCGACCCTTTCGGGGGGAAATGTGGGCGACGGGTCAGCCGTGAACTGTAGAGACTCGGGGGACCTGCCAGATCCCCTCGCTGAGAGCACGTGGGCCTGGCAGTGGGAAGTCTGCGCCGGGAGCCAGTCCTGTCGCCAGCAGGGCCAGGGCTCTGGGTGGCGGAGGGCGTGCAGCTGCCTTTTTATTGTAGAAGGTCTTTCATGCTCAGGAGGACTTGCTAAGAGTTCCAAGCAGGCTGAAGAAGGGTAAGAAGCTTATCGTCACCGTGTTACAAGCTTGGGCTTCTGTGCTGATCCTGGGTTTGCATCTGGACTCCGCCTCTGCTGGGCTGTGTGACTGTGGGCAGCTTGCCTCCCCTTCTCTGTGCTGCTTGTGATTGTCTCTTCCTGCCCTTCCTCTAGTTGGTGGCATGGGGAATGCCGGACAGGCAGGGGTGGGCACAGGGGCAGGCAGGGCTGCCAGCTGGAGGCAGGCCCGGGGAAAGGGTGGTGACAGGCAGCAGTGGGGCTGCGGCCCCTGGGCAGGGTGCGGGGTGTTGCTGTTCCCTGATGTGTGTGGGCATCCTGAGTCCCACCCGTGCTCCTTCCTGCCCGGGTCGCCGGGGCGGCCTTTGGGTGGAGCCTCAGCTCCTGGCCAGGACAGGGAGCCGGGTTCTCAACCCACAGGCTGTGCATGGAGCCTGCTCAGCGCCCGGCGCAGTCCTGGCACAAGAATGGCCCCCTCTGCACAGAGCTGCCAGGGGGCTCGGCACGTGGGCGGTCTGCGCGGCGTGCTTTATGGAGAAGCTGGAGACATACATCAGAAGCAGTAACAGTTATGAGCTCGGGATGGAGGATCGGGGGCGATTTTCATTTAAAAATGATCATCTCGCCTCTATAACTTCCCTACGGCCGTGATTTGTGTTTTAAAAAGGAAAAATTAGCAAGTACAGCTTTTCTTCCGGGCCCTTTTCCCTTAACTCTTCGGGCCCGAGTCGTGCTGGGAGTCCCAGGGGCATGGGGGTGAGGGAGGTCAGCCCAGCCCAAAGCCGAAGTGCTGGGACCTGCTGAGACCAGGACGGGTGCAGGCATGCTGTGGGCCCCCTCTCCCCCCCATCATCCCTGCTGCTCCGACCTGGCCGGCCCTGAGAGTGCGGACAACAGCCCCCGGACCCCAGAAACCGCCCCAACTGGACGGCATGGCAGGAGGCAGGAGCTGCAGGCCCAGTGGTCTGCTTATTGGGGGTGGGGGGAGGAAGGCATTTCCCCTGGCAGCAAAGCCATTCTGATGAAGCCAGCTCCCCAGGGCCCTCACTGCATGGGAGGGGGGGAGGGGGAAGAGCCATTGGGTCCAGCCCTGGGGGGTGCCCCTGTCTGGGGCACTGGTCTGGGTTAGACTCTGGGCTCTGGAGTCAGGCTGTCCTGAGTCAACTCCTGCCCCTGCTTCTTACCAAGTGGGACTTCAGGTGAGTTTGGTCCCCTCTCCTAGCCTCCACTTCCCCTTCTATAAAATGGGTATGATACTCCTGCCTCGCTCAGTGGTTCTAAACCAGTGTTCAACTCCTTTTGGCTATCACATGGGGAGGAGGAGCTGCTGGTGGCCAAAGGCTCAAGGCCAGGATGCTGCAAACATCCCATGAGGCACCAGACAGGCCCTGCCCTATGCAGCACTGGATCACACAGGCGCCGTCCCTACCAAAGGCCTCCGCTGAGGGGCCTCATCCTTCAGCGCTTCCCCTCCCAACCCCTGCACTGCCCCCGCCCCCTTGGCCATCCCTCCTGTGCCCACCCGGGACACTAGCCCACAGTGGGTGCACACACACTCTTGACACAGGGCATGAGGCTTGGAGCCTGGAAGCCCCGCTGTTAGAACGCCGGCCCCCCCTCCTGGGACGTCTCAGCAGAGCACCACCACGTGCGGGCACGTGCGGACAGCTGAGCACAGTGCAGTAAGCTGGTTAGTCTTGCTTTAGAGGAAGGGGATGGCACCTCCCAGGTGTGGGGACCTGGGGATCAGTCAGAGCTCTGCTGGCCGCCCACGGAGGGCAGCTGCCCCCTCCTCTCCTCCACAGAAGGGCCTGGGAGTTGCTTTAAGGCTATCTCGTGAGCTCCCTTTAAATCCCAAATGAACACATAAAAGGGGGGGGGGGGGCTCTAGAGGCAGCAATGAGAATTACTCGGAATGCACGCCAACTAGAGGCCCAGTGCAAGGACTCATGCACCGGTGGGGTCCCTCGGCCTGGGCTGCAGGGATCAGGCTGAAACCGGCTCTCTGCCATCCCAAGGGGTCCTGGATTCTAAGAAGGCGCAGGCCAGGCCCATGGACATCACCAGCACACAATCGGGCAGGGGAAGGACCTTGGGAGGGAGCCAGAGTGTGTCCTGCCTGTCTCGCCCTTCCTAATCAGCCAGACCCCAGTAGCAAGCTAACCTACTGGAGCGTCTGCCCCCTTGTGGTCAGTGTGTGTCACAGCAACCAGTAGAATGAATGGCCAGACACTTAGCATATTAGGCTTTTATTATATAGGATGACCACCCACGGTGACCAGCGTCGCTCCTGTCCCTTCTCATAGGGAACGGTTATTACAAACAAAAATAGTTCTCTACAAAACAAAGTTCCAGCCCTCCTCCGAACTCCCTCCCCAGACGGTGTGATCCTCCGCACCAGGCCTCTCCCCAGCCTGGGGTCTGGCGGGTTGCAAAGGAAAACCAAGAAAGAATACAAAAGAGAATCAGGTCAGCGACTGGAATTGTAGGCAACTGGAGTTGAGGGTCCGTGGCTGGTGGTCAGCCAGGGACAGGCGCAGGGGTGTCTGCAACAGTCAGAGTGTGTGTACCTGGGGTTGCTCGGTGAGCAGCGCTTCTCCCGCCCCGTCTCATCGCCAGCAAAAAAATTTAAAAAAGGAAAGGGGCGGCCGGAAATAGAAAAACTAAGACCAAAACCGGAGGCCACTGGGGCCGTGTCCCACAGCGCCCCCTGCTGCAGCCCGGGGCGGGGCAGGAGGCGCGGAGGCTGCCGAGTAGCACCTGGGAGCAGCCGGCCGCACCCTCGCCGCCGCGCCCGGGCAGGTGCAGGGCGGCGGCCCGGGCTCAGCGGCCCAGGCGGGCGGCCAGCGCCGGCAGCAGCAGGCAGCCCAGCAGCGTGGCGGGGCGCGGCGCGGCGCCGGGCGCGCGGTCGCAGTCCGGGCCGCCGCCGCCGCCGTCGGGGGCGCAGCGGGGCCGCTCGCAGCGGGGGCCGGAGAAGCCGGGCGGGCAGGCGCAGCGCTGGTTCTGCACGCAGGTGCCGCCGTTCCGGCAGGGCAGCTGGTCGTCGTCGCACACGTTGGCTGCGGGCGGAGGGGCGTTAGCTCGGCGGTGGCGCTCGGCCCTCAGGGCCCCGCACCGCCCACGCTGGAGCCCCTGCGCCGCGTGGGGCTGCCGGGGGCTCAGGGCGCCCCGGTGCGGGACGTCCCTGCGCGGAGGGGAGCCAGGCCCGGGGCCCCCTCCCGCCTCCGTTCGGGGCTGCCCCGCTCCGGGCGCCGGGTGCTGCTCCGGGGCCGGAACGCCCGCCTGCGGCCCTTCCCTCCACTAAGGGCGGGGCTCGGCCCGGCCGGCTCCCTCCCTCCCTCCCCTCCCCTCCCTCCCTCCCCTCCCCTCCCTCCGCGGACAAGGCACCCGCCCCGCTCCGGTTCGCCGCCAGCTTCTTCCCAACAACCAGCTCCGCCCGCCGCCTCCGACCGCTCCGCCGGCACCGAGGCCCCCCTGGCCCCGCCCCCTGCCAGGTGCCCCGCCCCTGTCGGTGCCCCGCCCCCAGCAAGGCCCCGCCCCGCCGGGTGCCCCGCCCCCGCCGGTGCCCGCCCCGGCGGCCCGCACTCACGGTGGCAGCCCTGGCGCCAGTGGTGCGTGGGGAGGCAGTCGTCGCACTTGGGCCCCGCCGCGCCCTCGCGACACTCGCAGAAGCCGGTCTCGTTGCACCGGTCGTGCACGGCGCCGATCTGGTTGCAGTTGCACTCTGGGGCAGGGCGGCGCGGTCACTCCCCGCGGCCCCCCGCGGGTGGGCCCCACGCGGTGACCGCCTTCCTCCCCCGGCACCGCCCCGCCTCCTCCCTCCGCCCGGGCTGTGCGGCCTGGTCTCCGGGCTCCGGCTCCAGAGAGCGTGGGCGGGGCTGTCGTAGGTGTGTGGGTGTGTGTGTGTGTGGGTGTGTGTGTGTGTGTGGGTGTGTGTGTGTGTGTGGGTGTGTGTGTGGGTGTGTGTGTTGTGGGGGTGTGGGTGTGTGGAGGGGAGGGAGTGTGTGTGTATGTGTGTGTAGGGTGTGTGTGTGTGTGGGTGTGTGTGTGGGGGGTGGGAAGGATGTGGGTGTGTGTGTGGGTGGGTGTGTGTGTGGGGGTGTGTGTGTGGGGGTGTGTGTGTGTGGGGTGTGTGGGGGTGTGTGTGTGTGTGTGTGTGGGTGTGTGGGTGTGTGGGGGTGTGTGTGTGTGGGGGTGTGTGTGGGGTGTGTGTGTGGGGTGTGGGGGGGGTGGGTGGGAAGGATGTGGGTGTGTGTGGGTGGGGGGGGGTGTGGGGTGTGTGGGGTGTGTGTGTGGGGGTGTGTGTGTGGGGGGGGGTGTGTGTGGGGGTGTGTGTGTGTGGGGGTGTGTGTGTGTGTGTGGGGGTGTGTGTGTGGGGGGTGTGTGTGTGGGGGTGTGTGTGTGTGGGGTGTGTGGGGGTGTGTGTAGGGTGTGTGTGGGGTGTGTTGGGGGGGTGGGTGGGAAGGATGTGGGTGTGTGTGGGTGGGGGGGGTGGGGGGGGTGAGGGAGTGTATGTGTGGGGGGGGGTGTGTGTGGGGGGTGAGGGAGTGTGTGTGTGTGGGGGGGTGTGTGGGGGGTGAGGGAGTGTGTGTGTGTGTGTGGGGGGTGTAGGCAGAGGGGGGCAGCCCTCACCCATACCCCCCTTTTGGGCGGGCGGAGGAGCAGCTGGTTTCTTGGGGCCTCTGCTCCGTGGGAAGGGCGTGTCCATAGCCCTCGGGGGTTCCACCCACCGCTGGGCCTTCTGTGTGCCCATCACCGGGACAGGCACATGGCCCAGCACATCTTGGCTGGGCCCTCCCGGGGTTAGGGTTGTGGATGGGGTTAGGGTTGTTAATGTTAGGGCCAGGGTTAGGAATAGGGTTTAGGGTAGGGATAGGGATAGGGTTAGGGTTAGCATTAGGGTTATGGATAGGGTTAGGGATAGGATCAGTATTAGGGTTGTGGATAGGGTTAGGGTTGTTAATGTTAGGGTTAGGGTTAGGAATAGGGTTGGTATTAGGGTTGTGGACGGTTAGGGTTGTTAATGTTAGGGTTAGGAATAGGGTTAGGGTTGTTAATGTTAGGGTCAGGGTTAAGAATAGGGTTAGGGATAAGGTTAAGTTTAGGTTAGGGATAGGGATAGGGTTAGGGTTAGCATTAGGGTTATGGATAGGGTTAGGGATAGGATCAGTATTAGGGTTGTGGATAGGGTTAGGGTTGTTAATGTTAGGGTCAGGGTTAGGGTTGGTATTAGGGTTAGGGATAGGGTTGTGAACAGGGTTAGGGTTGTTAATGTTAGGGTCAGGGTTAAGAATAGGGTTAGGGATAAGGTTAAGTTTAGGTTAGGGATAGGGATAGGGTTAGGGTTAGCATTAGGGTTATGGATAGGGTTAGGGATAGGATCAGTATTAGGGTTGTGGATAGGGTTAGGGTTGTTAATGTTAGGGTCAGGGTTAGGGTTGGTATTAGGGTTAGGGATAGGGTTGTGAACAGGGTTAGGGTTGTTAATGTTAGGGTCAGGGTTAAGAATAGGGTTAGGGATAAGGTTAAGTTTAGGTTAGGGATAGGGATAGGGTTAGGGTTAGCATTAGGGTTATAGATAGGGTAGGGATAGGGTTAGGGATAGGGTTGTGGACAGGGTTAGGGTTGTTAATGTTAGGGTTAGGGTTGGTATTAGGGTTAGGGATAGGGTTGTGGACAGGGTTAGGGTTGTTAGGGTCAGGGTTAGGGTTGAGGCGGCCCCCTCCTCACCGATGCACACGTTCTCGTCGTCCAGCTCTGCAGAGCCGTTGCGGTAGAAGCCGAGGCGGCAGTGCTGGCAGTGCTGGCCCCGCGTGTTGTGCTTGCAGCTCACACAGGTGACCACGTTGAGGAAGTCGATGTAGCTGCAGCGGTTGGAGTGGCCGTAGCACTCGCAGTCTGGCCGCCGCGTGGGAGAAACGGTCAGTGAGCGAGGGGAGCGCGCATTCAGGGAGGCCGAGGCCCGGGGCGAGGAGGCCCTGCGCCCGGACACGCAGGGGCAGACCTGGCCCGGGACCGGGCCTCCAGCACCCCTTACCGTTCGGGGGAGAGGGCGCCAGTTTTGAGCTTAAAGGAGAATCCATTGGGCTTAGCCCACCAACTGCCCCCTGGCCCTGCGGCCGGGACCCAGGGCGGGCCAGTGGGCAGTGCCTGGGCGAGTTGCTGTGGGGATGCCCAGGAGATGCCAGGGTGCTTAGCAATGCTGCATGCAGGGAGGGTGGTCATGCCAGTGCGAGCTCAGGGAGGGCAGCGCTGGGTGCGCGGTGTCACCACGGTGTCCCCACCACTCAGGGTGGATGGGGGGCGGAGCTTCCTCCGTGCTGCTCTGGGAGGTGGACGGCTGGCCGCCACCCGCAGCCCTTCCTGGCACCGGGGCTGCTCTGCGAACGTGATGGCCACCAGGGGGCCTGCTCGCGCTGCCTGCTCCTGCTCGCGCTGCCCACTCCGCTCTAGCGGGGACCAGCCATTGCTCCCCCCCCGCCCCCCCCAGCTGTCTCCAGCGGCGGATTCCACGCCCTCATGAAGGGTCACCTTCCCTGACTCAGGAGGGGGGTCATTTCTCCATGTCCCTCCTAAGGGACGCGGCCCCCCTTTGAATAAGCAGCCGGTGTGGTCACCCCTGAACCGGGAAGGGTGCGGCCACCCTCTGAACACCATCGTGGCTCCAGAGGACGCGACCCCGAATCCGCGATGGGAGAGGGAGGATGACCAGGGTCGGGGTCAAGGGCATGGGAGACCTCGGAGAAATGAGCCCCTGATGGGCCTCCTGGGCCTCCCCTTCACACTGTCCCTCCAGCGTCCGAGGAGCAGGTCGGTCACCTCCGCGCCCCAGATCTTGCTCCAACTGAGACGGCCTGGGCCACCTCCCCGGGGAGCAGGACCGGCTATTTCTGGCGGCTGCTCTGCCTGCCGTGCTGCCCACTGAGCTCTGACTCATCTGCTCCGCTCCCTGGGGGCTGGAGGGAGGCCGCTCCGGTCACCTTGGCCCAGCTGCTCCGGGCGGGGAGGCCCCCGGGGGCGGGCACGGTGTGAGGAGAGCTGCCTGGCCGGGGCCTCCCCCACCTGGGATCCTGCCATTGGCAGCAGCCGAGGAGATCCGGCCTCAGCTGGGAAGGCTTGGGGCCTGGGCAGGGGCGGGGCCAGGGAAGGTGCCCAAAGCTGGGGAGGTTAGGAACCAGCTCTTTCATCAGCCCGGCCCCCTGCCCCCAGCAACGGCTCCCAGGAGCCCTGCCAGCTCTGGGCAGCCCGGCACCTACCTGCTCTGACATGCGTGACCGGGCTCACAGGAGCATGCAGAGCCAGCCACTCTGGGCCCCCAGGAGACCAGCTGCCACCCAGCCGGACTCACCCTCCCGTCTCTCCTCCTGCACCCACAGCGCGGGCCCCAGCCCAGCTGGACCAGGTGACAGGGTGAACATCCCTCCTGCCGTCCAGCCTCCCGCTCTGGGAGCATCATGTCCAGGCTGAGCCTGGCATCCGGCCTTGGGCAGCTCCCTTCCTTCCTGAGGCAACTCCCTGCTCCATCCACGAGTGAGTCCTTACCCCCCGCCACGCCCCGCAATTCGCGGAGCAGACTGTCCAGACCCACCCACCCTCAGCTTCCCCCTGGGAGCCTCTGGCGCCCCAGCCAGCCCAGGGCGCCCACCAGTCCAGCTGCTCTAACTGCTCCACCACCTGGGAGGAGGCGGGCTCAGGGCCTCCAGGTTGCTGGGAACTAACTGCAGACCTGGTCTCACTGCTCGTGGTTCCAGGTCCTGCCAGCAGAGGGCGCGCAAAGCCCTGCTACCGCCCAGCCGCAGGGCTGCTGAGGGGACCGGTGAGCTGGGATGGGGGTGGCAGGTTCCTTATGTCTCCAGTGTGTGTAGTTAGAGAATGCGGCTCTCGGCCTGGTATCAGGGTCTCTCCCCTGCACCCCCCAAACCCCTGCCAGCTCTCCTTTAACCAACGCTCTGCCCTCCCACTGCCAAGCCTGCGCCCGGCTGGTCCTGCCGCCTGGACCGTGCTTCCTTCTGATATATATTCCCCACAAAGCCTCTGGACCTGAGCGCCATCACTGCCCCAGAGGATTCTCCACTTGCGGGTGGGGTAAAAGGGGGTGGTGAGAGGTGAGAGGTGTGGGGGTTTAGGAACTCCGAGGTCCCTCACCTCAGCCCCCTGGGCCCACTCCCACCCAGTCCCCACCATGCACTAGTACCCTGCTACCCCCGCTAAGTGGGGGCTATGGGTGGGAGAGCGCCCCCGTACCTTCTGCGCGGGAGGACACCTGGGGCCAGGGGGCACTCGCCCCTGGGGGGGCTGCTGTCGGTGGCCTGCTCCACTCTTGGGGGGAAGCAGAGGAGAAAGGAAGTCACGCCGGGGGCTGGGGCTGGGGGTGTCCTGGGACACCCCGAGGCGCCACACTGCACAGGCCCTGGTCAGAAGCAGCTCTAAGAAGCGCCGTCTACATGGCCACACAGAACGGGTCCGAATCTACAGCAGAGGCAGCGCCTACGGGCAGCAGCTGCAGTGGCTGCGGACGGAAGGCCGCGGGACGGGAAGCCAGGTGGGAGGGCCCCCTGCCTGAGAGTCTGCATGCTTCGGGGAGTCCTGGTTGGGGACTCCCCCACCCCCGTGTGGTCCCGTTCCCACAGCTGGGCAGAGCTCTCTGTGCTGAGTCTCAGGCTGATGACTAGGGGGCGCCATCACTGCGTCCACGCAGGAACGGCGTCCTCCAGTGTCCGGCCTGCCTCCGGCCACCACCTCTCCCTCCACCCCCTGGTCTGGGCCCATTTCCACCAGGGACCCCAATGTCATAACCCCCCAATGCCACAGCCGGGGAAGCAGCGAGGACGGAGTCGCATTGCTCTGCGCCGGATTTCAAGGGCCAGGCCGGAGGGACGGGGAGAAATCGGATTTTTTCTGCTGCCAAAGGGGTTTCTCGGACGCCGGTCTGCCGGACAGTGGGGAGAGGAAAGGAATATCTCCTGGCTAATGAGCGGGCCTTTCCCCGGAGCCTCCGGGTGCCGAGCTGACCTCACCAGGCTCAGGGCTCAGAGCTGCACCAGTGCCCACCAGCCACCCGTGGCTCCGCCCCCGCCGGGCAGGATTGGCGGGGCAGCCGCTGTGCCAGCGGGGCCCGGCCAGCTGGACTCTGGCCAAAGCCTGCAGCGCCCGGGGCGGCGTCTGAAGCCTCCGGACCTTCCGGGGACAGGGCCTGGGGACGGGAGAGGCCCCCTGGGTGGGGGCAGGCTCGGGTGTAGGAGGAGCGTCCTGGCAGGGGCCCGTGTCCGGTGCCAAGAGCAGATGGAGGCCCGTCTGTTCCTGCGGAATCGCGAGCTGGGCGAGCCAGGCCTACGCCGCACTCCCTCAGCCCCAGGCCGCAGGGCCAGGCTGGGCGGCTCAGTGGGCAGGGAGCGCCCGTCAGCGAGCCCGAGTGTGATGCCTGCCCAGTGAGCAGCTGCTCCTCCGTTTCCCCGGTTCTCTTTCCGACTGCTTCCCTGAGGTGCATGGACGGCCCCAGCTGCCCCCCGAGCCTGGCCCTCGCCAGAGGGTGGGGGAGACCGTGGCCCGTCTCAGAGCTGTGGGCCCTGCAGAGCTGTCCGTCTTAGGGGGGCGCCAGGCACAGTGGGGCCCAGGCAGGGGCTGCAGTTGCTAAAGAGGTGTGAAGACCCCAAACCGTGGGCGCCTCGGGTCGCTGGCTGTCACCCTGGAGCAGCCTCCTCCCCGAACGCCCTCCTGCCCGCCTGGCTCAGGTCGCACAGCTGCCATGCCTCCCCGGACAGCGAGGGGGGGCTCTCTCAGGGCTCCCCGACCGTCAGCAGGTGGGGGCTCCCGCTCAGGGCTCAAGCCCGACCTGCCTCGCTGGCTGCCAGGCCCCGGACCCTCTCCTAACTCCCGCTGTGCCCTGCGCCCTTACCCACTCAGCCAGTGGAGCCGGGTTCCTCGTGTGTGTATGTGTGTGCGTGGGGGGTGCGCGACCGGCCCCACCTGCACAGGCTGCCGCGTACAGGCGGACACGGCACCACCGCGGCGGCTTTGTGCCCAGTGGATGTGGGGGCAGGAGGGATCGCCCCCTTATGGCCCAGGGCCCCAGGGACCCGCCGGTGCCGCTGAGAGAGAGGAGCGAGCGAGGTGGGAGCTGGCGGGTGGGGGCAACACAGAGCAGCATCGTGGGACCCCATGATAGACCTGGGCCCCCTCAGACCCAGCTTTCTGTGGTGCCCTCGGGGCCCCTGGGTGCCCCCTGGGTCAGGTGGGGCCCCAAATAGCCCTGGTGGGAGAGGCTGTGCCTCCAAAGCATTTCTGAGATTTGGGGTCTCCCACCGCTGGCCGCTTGGCACCGGCAGCGCTCAGCGCAGCCGACACACCTGCTGGGGGAAGGCCGCCCAGGCTGACTATGGGGCCTGAGCTGCACTGGCCGCCTTAGGACCCCCCCTAACCAGCCCCAGACCACCACTCCCCCGCCCCCAGCCTCTCCGGAGCGATAGCTCAGGTGCCCAGAGGGGGGCCGGCCCAGGGTCAGGCTGGGGGTTCTGCTGCTGGGGAGGTGACCCCACTCTTGCCTGGCCCGAGAGGGAGGGGCCTTCCAAAGCAGCACTAGGAGGAGCCGGTGGGAGGAGCGGGGAGCAGGAGGGAGCAGGGTGAGGCGATGGGATGCACAGGGCACAAGTGGAGGGAGTGGGGCGCCCCAGGGCTCAGTGGGCAGGAGACCCCCTGCTGTCCTCTTCCCAGCACATGCAGGCGGCGGGCGCTGCAGGCCGAGCCGGGCGTGTACTCACTGCCAACAGCGGAGCCCGCGGCAGCACCTGTGGAGAGAAGGGTCTCAGCTGGGCCGGGGCGTCCCTCTGGGAGGCGGGGGCACGGGAGGGGGCGAGGAGGCAGGCGATGCCGGGGAGGCGCCAGAGGGAGGAAGTGGCAGGGCCTAGAGAAGGTCCTGGCAGCAGAGAAGTGGGCTGGGCTCCTGGGAGAGGAGCAGGAGGGGCCGGCCATCATCAGCCTTCCAGGCCGGTCCGCGGCCACGGCCGCCACCCTGTCAGCTGAAGCCACCACGTCGGTCTCTCCCGTGGGGGGTGCTGGTGGAGGGAGTAAGACGCCTAGAGTCCCAGGAGGGCGCTGAGGGCATGGCCTCGGGCTGACAGTCTGGAGGATGGAGCAACAATACCGCCGCCGCCACCTGCCGGGTGGTGGGAGGGGCCTCGGGGAAGCTGGCTGAGCGCAGCCTCCGACAAGCACCTGGCAGGTGTCAGCCACCGACATGAGCCCGGCCGGCCCTGCTCCTGCAGCTCAGGGCGCCCGGGACACCGGACTCTGCGGGCCCGGGGAGTGGGGTATCTGATGCAGGCACCTGTGGCCACACTGGGGACGGCTGTGCAGGGGGCCGGACCCGTGACGGCGTCACAGGACTCTCTGAACCCGCAAACAGGAGCACTGCCTTCGGCGGCTGGGGCAGAGGGGCTGGCAGGCACCGGGGTTGGCACTGCCCGTGAGTGCCGGCCGGGAGGGAGTGCTGATCAGTCAGCTGGAGGAGGGTCCCCACCGCCCTGCCCCACACCCAGGGCTTCCTCCCGCCCCAGCCTCCGGGCAAGGAGGGGAAGGAGAGAGGAAGACGCCAGCAGCTCACCCAAGCCCCGCCAAGGCCCCATGCAGATGAGGCTTCCCGTGTGCACACACGCGTTGTTGTGCGTGCATATATGTTAGTGAGTACATGCATGTATATGTGCACGTGCACAGGTGTGCTTGTGTGTGCATGTGTTTATGTGTGCACGTTTGCCTGTGTTTGTGAGTACACATTTGAATATGTGTGCGCGTGCATGTGTGTGCATGTGTAAACGAGAACTCCGGGGCTGGAGGGCGGTACGTACAGGCGTTGGGGGAGCCGTGCGGCGGCGGCAGGTAGGAGCCGGGCCGCCAGGACCGCGTGCGGAAGTTCTTGCGGCACCTGCCGCAGTCGGGGCCCGTGGTGTTGTGCTCGCACTCGCACTGCAGGCTGCCCTCGCGCACGGAGCACAGGTTGGCGTGCAGGTTACACTTGCACCTGCAGGGACACAGCACAGTCAGTGAGCTCCGGGGGCCGGGAGGCGGGGGCTGCAGGGACCCGAGGCTGCCCCCTGCCCCTGCCCCTGCCCCTGCCCCTGCCCCTGCCCCTGCCCCCAGCCAGGATCCTCCCTCAGGCAGTCGCTCCTGCTCCCCATCCCGTGGAGGGGACACCGTTCAGCCTCCCGGGACTCGGGCTGCCGGGACTCGGGTGTGGGCCGCCTCTGACCTTGGTTTCAGGGCTTCCCCGCCTCGGTCGGGGGGGGGGGGTGCCGGCAGAGGCCTGGGGAGGCCCCCGGAGACCGACACACCACCCGCTGCCCTGCTCTCGGGCCCCCGGCCGGACCGGCTCCCCCAGCCGGACTCCGGCTGGCGCGGCTCTTCTCAGCCCGGCGGCGGGGGAGGCGCCCATGGGAGAGCCGGGCGTCCCCTCGAGCTCCAGCCACAGCGGCATGCGCCGGGCGGGGAGGTCATGGGGCTTGTTCTTGTATTAATGATTGCATCCCTTTCCCTGCCAACGACTAAGCCTGCTTTTGCCTGCACTGTATCCCGTGGGCTTCTGGGAGAAGCATGGCGGGCCTTCCTCCTGGGGACCCCCGAGATGACCCTGCGCTCAAACCTACAGGCCGACGTGCCCTCCTGGTGCCCCCTCACCCTGCCCCCACCCCCGGCATGCGGTGCACGGGCAGATCAAAGGCTCTGACGAGGCCCGCGGGAAGGACCACCTGACTGTCTAACAAAGTCAGTCTGCAAAATGCATTTGACCTCGGAAGGTCTCAGGTGTGTGTTTTCTCTCCGTTCACGGAGCCACTGGAGAGGAACCAGCTGTGCGAGCCGGGGAGGTGCCGCCTCTGGCCCGGGGACGAGGTATTTTTAGATCCAGCGCCACGCGGAGAGATTCCATCGCAGCGCCGGGCGGTGCCGCTGACCTTGGCTGGTTAAAACGCGCAGGAGGCCGGCCCCGCCCGGAGCACGGGGTGCCAGGCCTGCGGCGCGCGGGCGTGCGGGGGACGCTGCCAAGGTCACGGGGTTGGTTACTCCTCGTCCAGACCCAGGGGTCCCCCCGCCCCCCACGCTGGCCGGCTCCTCCCCGCCGCCTCCCGGAGGCAGTCCCGTGCCCGCCCGCCCGCCCTGGCGGAGCCCAGTGAGCACGGCTCCTCCGCCCGCAGCCCAGGCGCAGCCGAGACGTTCACCGTGGCCTCGGGCACAATGCTGGCTTACCCGCCTCAGCTTCCCGTCCGGGATGGGGAGTGATTGTCAGGGGAAGTGGAAGAGAGAGGGGGGAGAGACACATCGATGGGCTGCCTCCTGCACGCAGGGCCCGGGCCGGGAGCCGCAGGTGAGGTACATGCCTTTGACGGGAGTTGAACCCGAGACCCTTGGCCTGCAGCTGACGCTCTATCCACTGAGCCAACCGGCCAGGGCCCGAGGGCTTTCTCCTCCTCCTCCCCTGAGCCTCTGGAGGCGGGTCCGGAGCCTCTGGGAATGTGTCACCACCCCTTCCCCAAAGCCCTGCGCAGGGCGGGCCTCGCTGCATCTCCGTTTGCAGACGAGGGAGGGAGGGAGGGAGGGAGGGAGGCTCAGCGGGGCGCCCCTTTGGGCAGCGGGCAGTGGGGGAGGGGGGCCTTGGGAGGCGGGTAAACCACGGACATGCATGGGCTGCACACGGAGCTGACCGGCCTCACGTGAGCAGGGGCTGACTCCACATCACCCCTGGGCCCCGGGAAAACCCAGGTGCGCCTCTCCCCGCCCCCAGGAGAGGATCAGGACTCTGGCCGGTCACGTGCATCCGCTCACCCCGTCCCAGGCCGCAGGAGGCGGGTGTGAATCCAGGATGTTGGGCGCTAGAGCCGGACCCCACCCGACCCCCACCCCCAGCGGCGCCTTATGTGGGCTCCACATGGGGGAGGGGGCGCTGAAGCAGACCCCTAGGCCCTGCTTCCCGATCCATTGGCCCGCCTGGGCCTGGGAAACGCAGCCACAGAGCCGAGAGGCCTCTGCCCACCTCCCCCCACAGCCAGCTCCACCCGCCCAGGCTTAGGGGCAGCCCGGACTCCCGGCCGCACCTCTGGCCCAGATCTTCCTGCACCCATGCGCGTGGGACCAGTTTTCCTGAGGAATCGCTCTCTGACTCTGACCTTGGAGAGCCATCAGCCTCACGGGACACATCACCTGAGCCCCTGACCCTGCAACAACAGTGACCAGAGGGGGTGTGAGGCCGGCCCAGGGCTGCCACTGGCCAGCAGCCGCCAGTACCTGCTGTCCCCTCCTCCCCCTCCCCTCCCCTCCCCTCCCCAGCCCAGCCCACCCGTCTCAGAATCCCATGCCTTTCACTCGAGGTGGTAACAGTGTGGGGGGGGGGGGGCAGGTGGATGCTGAGCCAGCAGAGGCTTGCCAGGCTGCTGCAGACTTGCCTGCCGGTGACCTTGAGCAAGTCCCTTCCCCGGGCCTCAGACCTTCCGCTCCAAACCGGAGGGTCGGCCTGTGTCTCAGGCTTCCCCTCGGCCACATGCTCGTCTGCGTGTGCCTGGCACGCTGCCCGGTGCGCTCCCCGGCACACAGCGGCTCTCGGCGTCTAAATGACCCGCCTTAGAGTCACTGCAGTTGCCAGATTTAGCAAATGAGAATAGGAGACCCTGGCCGGGCGGCTCAGTGGGTTAGAGCATTGTTGGGATACACCAAGGTTAGGGGTTCAATCCCTCGTCAGGGCAAAAGGAGAATCAGCCAAGGAATGCATAAATACGTAGAACAACAAATTGATGTCTCTCTCTCAATAAAAAATAAAGATATAGAATGCCTGGCTAAATTTGAGTTTCAGGCAAGCAACCAGTAAGGTTTTTAGTGTAAGTACATCCCATGAGACACACTACACTGAATACAAAATTGTTCTTTATCTAAAATACAATGTCACATGCATCCTGCCTGTTACCTGCTCACCCACACGGCTGAGTGATGGCCGCAGGCCTGACCCCTGACCTCTCGCGAGGCCTGGCATGGGGCACCCACTCCCCGCAGGAAGCTGGCCCACCGGACAGATGGCCAAGCCACAGGCCCCCATAAGCTGCTCCTTTCCTTGGAGCTGAGGAGCCCTAACGAGCCCCAGGAGACTCGGTTTGGAGGCAGCGCCCAGCTCGCCCCTGGGGGAGGCGGTCCCAGACGCCCCGAGTTCTTGGAAACACGCTCTGCTCTGCCCGGGGCAACAGGCACGAGAACTCCACCGTCCTGCCCACCGGAGGTCGGCGGGTGCCCCTCAGGACGGCGGGGACCAGCAGGCGCCGGGCGGTGTGTGCCAGGCCTGCGGGGAGGGCAGGCGGTGCCCGGGAGCTGCCGGCAGGAGTGCCATCTGGACACGGGCCTGGCACTGCCGCTCCGTGAGAATCGTGAGCCGGCCCTCCCTCCGCCGGGGAGCGGGCGTTTGGAGCGCCGCCGAGGGAGCGGAGGGGAGGGATGTAGGTCAGCTCGGGCCTGGAGGGATGATGTCATCGCCTCCCGGGGACCAGGGAGCGGGTGTTTGGGGAGCGGGAGAGGGTGCCAGAGCCGGGCAGGGAAAGGGGCCGGGGCCCACACCCTCAGCAGGCCACCCCACCGCGATCTCGGGGCATGGACAGGAGCCTCGGGCACGGGGCACGCACGGGGGCGCAGGGAGCACCCGGGCCCCGGGGCTCTTGGTCATCGCTCAGCTCTGTGCCCGGTGACATCAGCTCCGCTGGAGCAGAGGGGGCTGCGGTGTGGGGAAGAGGCACAGGGTGACAGGGAACTGGAGCCCTGCAGGCCTGAGACCCCACGGAGCTGAGTGCAGGGGCGGGGGGCGGGCAGAGTGAGACCCCGGCAGGGCTGGGCGCAGGGGCGGGGTGCGGGGTGAGACCCGGCGGGGCTGAGCACAGGGGCGGGGGGAGGGGTGGGCCTCAGACCCCGGCGGGGCTGAGCACAGGGGCGGGGGGAGGGGGGGGCCTGAGACCCTGCGGGGCTGAGCACAGGGGCGGGGGGGGGGCGAGCGGGGTGCGGGGTGAGACCCGGCGGGGCTGAGCGCAGGGGCGGGGTGCGGGGTGAGACCCGGCGGGCTGAGCACAGGGGCGGGGGGAGGGGTGGGCCTCAGACCCCAGCGGGGCTGAGCACAGGGGCGGGGGCGGGGGGGCGAGCGGGGTGCGGGGTGAGACCCGGCGGGCTGAGCGCAGGGGCAGGGGAGTGGGCCTGAGACCCGGCGGGCTGAGCGCAGGGGCGGGGTGTGGGCGGGGTGCGGGCACCTGGCGGCCCGCTCCCCGTAATGCGGATGAATGAGGCGGGCGCTCTCCGGAATGCAATCAGGCCGGCAATTGAGTCCATTGGCCAAATCAGATTGGGCGGCTGTGCAGAGTCCTCTATTAAGTGCTTTCACATGCATCACCCTGCGCTCGGTCCTAATCCCATTTCCCATCACCAGCCCAGCAGCCCAGGAGCCGGACCGGGCTGCCCGAGGGGCTGCGGCCCCCGGGGCACGGCCTGGGGTGACCAGGTGGACTGAAGCAGAACCACTTCTGCCCTGTGGAGGGCCCCCCACCCCCAGGGCAGGGCCAGGCCTGGGTGCTGGCCCGATTGCTGGTCTGGGTGCTGGTCTGGGTGCTGATCTGGGTGCTGGCCCGGGTGCTGGCCCAGGTGCTGGCCCACATGCTGGCCCAGGTGCTGCCAGGGGAAGTGAGCAGCCGCAGGGCATGCTGGGGCAGCTCTGGGCGTGGTGCTAGGAGCCCGCTGGCTTCCCCCTCGCAGCGCTGGAAGCCGCACTGACGGTGAGTGAGGCTCCTTGTGCACGTTGCGGAAGTTTGTTTGTGAACGAGTGAGTGAGAGTCAGCAGGTGTGTGAGGCCGGGACAGCCTGCTCTCCTTAAGGCTGGAGGGAGGGGGAGGGGGGTCCCCAGGCCTGCAGACTCCGAGCCCCAGGAGCTGCTGTCTGGGCCAGGTGTTGGGGGTCGGGAGTTTTCCAGGCGGAGGGCTGGGCTCCGGGCAGAGGCACCCCCAGAGGTGGGTCCCAGGACCCAGCACCAGGGGGCCAGTCCCAGAGGCCTCGGAGGTGGGGCGGCCGGCGTGGGCTTGGTTCTGAGTCAGCGGGAAGCACGGGAGGCCCGGGCAGCAAAGTGACACGCCAGGGTTTGTGTTGGGAGGAGAGTCAGAGGGTGGGGGCTGGCTGTGACCCCACAAACTCCTGGTGCCGTGCGCCTCCCCTGGGGTGGGTGGGTGGGGACGGTGCCGAGTTAGAACCTGCTCGGCTGGGAGATGGCGAGAGGGACCGGAGGAGCAGAGGCGATTCCACGGCTCTCGGGGCCCAGGCCCTGAGTGGGCGGCTCCCACGGGGAGAAGCGGCGAGACTCCCCTAGGTCAGGCCCTGGCTGGCCTGGCTGCTGCGGAGGCTCAGCTCACCCGGGGTGCAGCGTGGCCTAGGGTGTGACTGGGTGCAGGGGGCGGGCCCTCTGCGGCCTCCAGGGGGCGCATGTGAGGCAGCATCTGGGGTCTAAAACGGGCTCCCTCTGTGGAGAGGGGAGGGGGTCAGAAGAGCACAGAGGACCTGCCTCCCGCCCTGTCTGTCCTGCCCCAGAACGAGGTCCTGCCAGTCCCCGGAGGGAGGCGGCCCGGAGCCTGGCCCAGGCCCGGCAGCCAGAGGCCCAGCCCAGGTGCGCCTGTTCACGGTGGGCGCTGGGCAGTGACCCCTTCCGAAGCCGGGCGGCTCCGTCTCCCTCCTCACCCGCTGGCCGGCGGAGGGGCTGCAGGAGGAGAGCAGGGACACGGTGTGTGCCGGGCACTCGGACGGGCTTGTCAGGATCACAGGAGCCCGGGCCTGCGCGCCTGCTGGCGTCGGCCGAGCTCGCCTGCAGTGGGGGACTGAGCCCGGGCGGACGGCCTTGCCCAGGGCCATAAACTGCAGATGAAAGAATCTGGATTCAGACGCAGCTTCTCTTTGAACCAACACCTGGGGCTGTGGACGGATTACAAAGAGGCCTCGGACCCGGGACTGGCGAGGGTCCCTGAAGTGTGAACAGCGGGATCTGACCCCATTGTTAACTCTGGCAGCTGCGTATCTGTGCTCACATGTCGGGTGAAGCTGGGGGTGTGCTCACACGTGTACACACACACATGTGTACACACGTGCGCACACACGTGCGCACACACATGTGCACACACACACACACACGCCCCACCTCGGCTCGTATCCTCAGCCTGAGCCCTGGAATCTCCAGTTACGGGGGATCGATAGGAACCAGATGTCTAGGGAAGAGGAGAGGAGGTGGGGAGGGGGAGGGAGAGGGGATTAGAGGAGAGGCCATGTCTTCGCCCAGGGACTTGGAGCAGCCCGGCCCGGCAGAATCTGGGGGAGCTGAGGGCTCAGATACTCAGGGTCATGACCCAGCAGCGCCCGTCCGCCTGGGGCCTGGCAGGTCTCCTCTCTCCAAGCACGTAGCCTCCTCCTGGGTGGCAGGGGGTGAGGACACAATGCCTGGCACCCAGCACCCAGGCATCCTAATGCGGTTTTCCCTGTTCCCTTAATCGGCGCTGGTTATTGTTGTACAGGGGCGCCGGCTACCCCCCCCTCTCCCCCAAACACCACCCTGTCGCTTGCATGCCTCCGGGATGGGGAGCTCACTCCCCTCTCCCTGCCTGGCAAGGGCCCAGCTAGACTGGCTCCCTGGAACCTCCAAGTGAATCCTGGGCAGGAGGATTTCCCCTGGGCAGGCCTAGTGGACAGGGCAGGACGGCCAGGCCCCTCCCCTGTCCCACCCCCAGAGTGGGCAGACATGTCTTATGAGGCATGCCTGCTTCTCTGGCCCCTGAAATGCCCGAGGGTCCCCAGGCTCTTGTCAGGACGGGCCCACGTCCACCGTTGCCACCCCGTCCTGCTCTGCCTGTCTGGCTCCCGGCCCAGGTGGCTCTCCCCGCAGGACTTTGAAGAGGACGAGCAGAGACCAGCACAGCCCTTTGGGGGACCACCTACTCAGGCCTGATCGATCGATAAGCCGTGCTGCCGCTTCCGCCAACCAGCCGAGTGCTCACTGCCTGTGGACCATCCTTTCACCATGTCTGCACCGCTGCTCGTGCCTGCGAAGTCTGGCTGCCTGGGGAGCTGGGAGCTGCTGGGCCTTCACTCACAGAGGGGAAACTGAGGCTCAGAGAGGGGCACCGCGGGGCTGCTCTTCACCGGGATGGGCTTTCCCGCCCCACTGCCCTCTGCCCTCCGCCCTCTGGGCATGCTCTGCCCATGTGCTCATCTCGGAGTCCCCCCCAGGAGACAGCCCCCCACAAGAAGGGCACTGCAGGCCCCGACTGCCCCATTGAGCCGGGCACTGCCGCCTGAGCCACCTCATGAAGGGCAGGTGCCCCTTGGTCAGATGCGGGTCCCGCCCAGCCCAGCGGCTCAGGGGTTGAGCGTCCACCTTTGAACCAGGAAGTCATGGTTCAATTCCCGGTCGGGCACATGCCCCGGTTTGGGGTTTGATCCCTAGTGTGGGGAGTGTAGAGGGCAATCAATCAATGATTCTCATCACTGATGTTGCAATCTCTCCCTCTCCCTTCCTCTCTGAGATAGATAAAAATATTTTTTTTAAAAATGAGGGTAGCAGCCCAAAGCGAGTCAGAGAAGGCCAAGCCCCAGAGTGTGGGTTTCTGGGTCCCGCCTCGGAGCTGCTAAGTCTGGCGGGGCTGCGGGCGGAGGGCGGGTTTGAGCCAACAAACACTGCCTCCCAAGGGCAGGCAGAGGTCACCGAACTGACCAGAGTCCCGAACCGGACACCCGTTCCACAACGGCCCAGGAGCTCCATCCTTAGCCCCCCAGTGGCCACAGGTTTCCAGAATATTCCTGACTTAAAACCTCCTGCCCCACACGGCGGGTTGGGAGTCAGGTGTGAGAACCACAGGCCCTGCTTCCGCGCACCTGCTGCCGGCCCACCTGAGCCCACACGCAGGGCCCAGGGAAGTGAACCGCACACAGCTGACCGCAAGGGCCCCGCAGCCTCCGCTGGCCCCGCCCGCCTGCCCGCCCCAGGGGCCACGGGAGCTCCGGCCTCTCCCCCCGCACCCACAGGCCTTCCCGCCTGAGCAGCCGCTGCCGAGGACCCTTCCGGAGGAGGGACCGCCGGCGAGTGAGTTTTACAAGACGCCGCTCCCCGCACACACACTGCAGGCCCCTCAGCAGCACCTGCTCACAGCGCAGTGGGCGAGGCCCGGGTGCTGCCCCCCACTCCCCCCGCCCTCCTCACCCTGCACCGGCTCTCAGTCCCGCCTTCCCGCGCCGGCCCAGCTCTCCGGCGCCGGCGTGTAACCTCCGCTCATTTCACCCACAAATACGGTCTAAAACTCTGAGCACGTGCTGCGCGGGCCAGGCCCGCACCTGTTCCTAGGAACCCGTTTAACTCTCACCCGGGTCTGAGAGGAGCACGATCGCAATCCCCGCTCTGCAGGTGGGGAAACGGAGGCCGGGAGGTCCTGGCCCTCACAGCCAGGGGGCAGGCTGGGATCCAGCCGGGCTAGCTGGATACCGGTCCATGCTCCTACTGGTCGCAGCAGGTTCCCAGCCTGGGTGCGCCCTGCACGCGGGGGCTCAGGGAAGCACAGGTGGCCCCCCACCCCCGCCCTGTTCAGAGGCAGCGGGGGTGGGGTGGGGGGGGGAGTGGGGTGCGTCTCCAGCAAGTTTCCCAGTGATGCTGACGCTTCCTCGGGGAGCGGGGAGCAGCCAGAGCCAGGCTGGCTGTCCACACGCCGCTTTCTAAGGAGAAGCGGGCCCTGCGCTGGCTCCTGGGGGACCGCGGGGCCTGGAATACCCTGCGCCGGGCCACGCCAGGCGGTTCATGCCAATCGGGGGTACCTGGTGGGGCTCTGGGCACCAGGATCAGCTGTGCCTCTGGTCAGGCCAAGGTCCAGCAGGGGCAGTGAGCCGTGCCCACGCGATCCAGCCCAGGCAGAAACCCTGACGCCAGGCTCCGGCGGGCTCCCCGGTTGGCACAGTCTGAGCGGGTCCTCGCACATCCGTGCCGTGGAGCCGAGGGCTCTCCGACGGGGAGAGGACGCCGGCCCGCGGGGGGGACCCTGAGCCGCCCTCCGCCCGGGCCGCGCGGCTGCTCTCCCCCGCCTCTCCTCGCCGTGAGCGAACTGTGACCGTCACAGCTCTGCTGGGCTCTGGGGCCGTCCTAGCCAACCCCGGCTCTGAGGGCGGCCTCGGGGCCCCCAGACACAGCGCCCTGTTCCTGAATCATCACTGGACAGTAACAGAGCACCCAACTACCACGCACTGGGCTTGGGCCCCAGCCCGGCCGGCACGGCCAGGTCCTCAGCCTCTCCGGTCTCCCAGGTCCGTGGGCAGCGGCAGCCTGGGCTCCACGGACGATGCCTGTCACCCACCACCCGCCGCCCACTACCCCCCGCCCCCACCCTCCTGGAGGAGCCCCTGGCAGTAACATCCCGGCACCGGGCAGCGCCCAGGAGCCAGGTCACGCCCGGGGACCACGCAGCCCCCCCGGCTCGCCCCCCCCCGACCCCCCACCCCCCGCACGGCCTCACCTCCGACGGCCTCACCTGCCGGTGACCTCCACGTTGGAGATGGCGTAGAAGTACTTGTACAGGTTCTCCCGCTGCACGTAGGTGCCGCCCAGCGCGGGCCGCAGCAGCCGCAGCCGCAGGTCGGTGAGCGTGAAGAAGTCTCGCAGGCCCTTGGCGCTCTCCAGACGCGCGTACAGCTGGTCCATGTGGCGCAGGCCGGGGCCGGCGAAGATGGCGAAGCGCTCCCGCACCTCCAAGCGCACGTGCTTCTCCTTGCGGGCGCCGGCCCAGCGCGAGTACTCCTCCGTGCACAGCACGCGGTGCGCGCCCGCTGCCGCCAGGTCGCGGGCCCGGCGGGCGGGCATGCCGAAGGCCTCGGCGCAGTCCTCGGCGTAGAACTGCCAGGGCTGCCAGGTGCGCCCGTGGTCCAGCGACTTGTCCAGCACCATGGCGGTGGGCCGGCCGTACTCGAAGGTCACCACCACGTCGTCCGTGAGCTCCACGCTCTTGTTCCAGGACAGCGTGATGTTGGCCTCCAGCGGGCTGGGGTAGCGGCTCCACGTGACGCTCTGCCAGTAGGTGGCCAGCCCCTCGTCCTCCCGGTCCAGCATGAGCCGCGGCGGGTGGGCCAGGTCCGGGTTGGAGGCGTCGCACTCGTTGCTGCACAGGTAGGGGTTCTCCTGCCGGGAGGGGGTTAGGGGGCACGGTGGGCGCTGCTGCCTGGGGGGGCCGGGGCGCCTCTGCCCAGCCCGGCCCCGCGCGAGTCCAGGCATCGGCCGGAGGTCACAGGGCCCGTGTCCAGGCGCCAGGAAGCGCCCCCTGGGCCGGTGGCTTGAACCCATTTCCCCGGAGCTCGTAGAGGCTGTAACGTGGAGGCAGCCCCGGAAGCAGGCTCTCTCTATGTGGAGACCGTCAGAGGGGACCACCTCTCCCATCCCCGGCTCCCCCTGCCCGGAGGATGGAGGTCTAACTTCAGCACACAGACCCCGGTGCCTGGAGCCCCATCCCCACCCGCTGGGCGCCACCCACTGAGCAGCCCGGCCTGCAAGCCCACTGCCCGCGCCTCTGAGCCTCTGCAGACGGCACTTTCTCCCCCGGACCTGCCCTCCGCCCTGCCTGCCTGCACAGCTTCTCTTTGAGCGCCTCCTCCCCGAGGTGTCTTCCTGGCCCTTAAACTTACTCCGTGGCTGCCCCACACTCACCACACACGCTGGCTGAACTCGGCGCCAGGCCCTGGATCTCACGTACAAATTCAACTCCCTTCTCTCGGCCCACCTCCCCCTCCCCCTCCCCCTCCCCCTCCTCGCAGCACGGGCACTTTCCTCACGTCCGGGAGGCAGCCTGGCCTCGGGGGCGGCCCTGCCCAGGTCCCGCGGGGGGAGCGGGACACACCCCCCGATGGCACAGAGCATGGTGGCCGTGTCTGTCCCTGGCAGAGTCGTGTGTCCGTCTCATGCGGAAGCTGGGCACCTGGGGGTGCTGAGTGTGTAGGGTTCCCCTCAAGGGGGTGCATCTTTGTGGCAAGTCAGTTCTAGGTCCTTGGCACGTGCCGGGCAGGCCCAGTGGGGGGCGCTGGTTAGCATTGCAGGTCCTGGCCCCTCTGGCTTACAGTCTTCCCTCCCGGGGGTGGGGGTGGGGGGGCCGCTGGCAGCCTGCTCCCTGCCCAGCGGGGCTCCCCTTCACGGCAGCTCAGATCCATCCTGCATCTGGCCGGCCCTGTGAGCGCATGTGGAGCCCAAATGCCGCCGGCACAGGCTGCCCGGGGCGGGGGAGGGAGAGGAGGGGCGCGGGCGGGTTTGAGGGCAGTGAGGGACCGGATGGGCTGTCACGGTGGGTCCATGACGTCGGGCCTTCGTCACAGCCACACCCGGGACCCTGTGTGAACTGCGGTCAGTGAACAGGCACACGCTGTGGGTTCATCGTTGTAACAGACGCCCCCTAAGCCGGGCGGGGTGGGGGGGAGGGGCCGAGGAGCCCTCCGCTCTCCGCTGTCCAGCTGAACAGCTCCAAACGCCACATCCATTCATTAAGAGCCAAGCCTGTCACCAAGGCCCGCGCCCCGGCCCCTCGTGGCTTTTGATGAATATTTCAGGCCTCCCGTTCGCCTGGTGGCGAGCGGCTTGGGTCTGAGATAAAGCTGCTCACTCGAAAGCGAGCCATCCAGCCAGGGCGGGGCGGGGCGCCCTCTCCAGAGGGGCTGAGCGCTCACCCCCGCCACAGCCTCAGGACCCCACTGTGACCCCTCGAGGGGAGGACCAGGCCCTGGGCCCAGACTCCTCGGGGGGCGGCTGGCCTGGGTTCGCCGAGGCAGCTCCCTCAAAGCGCGCTTGACCAAAACAGCTGTCCTTGCCGCGGCCCCCCGCCCAGGCTGCCCTGTCCACCCACCCTCCAGCCCAGGGACTCACAGGACCCACAGACCTCGGGGCCTAAGGGGTTCCCTCTTGAGTCCAACCCCTCAGTGGGCACAGGGGAAACTGAGGCCTGGCCTCCTGGTGCGTGGGCTGTGCTCTGGGCTCCGCTGGCTCCTGTCCTGGACGGTCTCAGGGAGTCCGGCACGCTGGCGTCCTCACCTGAGACCCCCCACTGGAGCGGAGCTCCCTCGGGCTCCAGCTGGGGGACCCTGAGCCCGGCTTCTGGATGAGCGGTGCCCCCTGTGGGAGCACCCTGGCCACCAGGGGGCAGCTCATGCGTTGAGCGTCTGCCCCCGGTGGTCAGTGCACATCATAGCGACCAGTCATTCTGGTCGTTCTGCCATCACGGTCACTGGGCTTTTATTTAGATTGTTGTTACGTGACTTAGTTGTTAATATAATTAGTAGATTAATATTCATAAATCTCATTGAATGTTGCTATGATTCTTGTCAACCTCAGCTCCGGGAGTCCCCACGCCCCCCCTGTTTACCTTGGTCCTTCTTTGTCCCCGGCCTCCCGCCCCTCACCGGGCCCGGCCTCCTGGTGGTGCCCACGGGGATGTGGGGGGGACACGGGGTCCTTCCCCCCCCAGCCTCCCAGGCCTGTCTGTCACCGGGAAGACTGACACAGCCGGTCCTGGCAGAGGACAGGGGCTCCGACCCGGCTGCGGCTGGGCTGCCCTCTCCTGTGGTCGGCTGCCCCCGCCCGATGCCAGCCCGCGAAGCAGATGGTCAGAAACTAATGAATCAGCCGTCCCGCCCGCTGGCTGCTGAGCGGCCTCACAGCAGCGAGCACAACAGATAAATCCCAGGCGTCGCCAGCCACGGCCCCTCCCGCTGTGTTTCCTCCTCCCTCCGCCCTCGGCTCAGGATCCCTTAACCGTTTAGGCGCGGAGCGTGGCCTGGCCGCTGGGCTGGCCGCTGGGCCGGACTGCGGAGCGGCCGGGGTGGACAGGGCCCTCCCTCCCGCCGCCGCTGACGGCGCCCGGGAGGCCGGGCCGGGGCAGCGCCTCCGCTTCCCGGGAGGTCAGGTTGCACCAGGAAGCAGCCGGCGCAAAGAAGCGGCCGCACAGGCAGAAGGTTCCGGAGGCTCGAGGCGCAGCTCTCGCCTTTCAGAACGGCCCGGAGCCAACCTCTGATACCGGAAGCAGCGACCGTTCCTTCAGACAGTTCACCAGCCGGTAAAACACACGTCCTGCCCCGACGGAGGGCGGGACCGGCTCCGGGGAAACGCCAGGCCGCACGTTCCGTGCCGCTCGGGGGCCTGTGTGCCACCCCTCGGACCCGGAGCCCAGCAGGAAAGGGAACGGCTTTGGGTCCGGAAGCCCAGGGCCGGTCCCAGCGCTGTCCCCGAAGCTGTGTGCCGCTGGGACCGCCGGGAAGTGCCCGCTGGGCGGTGATGAGCAGCAGCTTCGCCTGGGCTGCTGCCGGGAGGATGTGACGTGGCACCCACGTGCCAGGGCCCCCTGCCTCCTCCGGCAGCCCCCGGCGCCCACAGCGAGCCCCACGGAGGGGGCCGAGCAGAGCCGCCCCCTCCTCCTCAGACTGCGGACACCCCGGGAATGGGAACCCGCGCTCCCAGGCTCTGCAGGCACCGGTCAGCCTGTGAGCGCCAGCTGCGGGCGAGGGGCAGGGCCGGGCCTGGGGGCCGGGCAGCCAGCGGACGCCAGCCCCCGAGCCTGGGCGGGAACAAGTCTCCCCCGTGGACAGGGGCAATGCTGGCGCTTCTCCCACAGGGAGGGTCTCAGCGGCTCCTGTCTGCGGTGCTTCCTGTGCAAAGGCTGGAGGGGGAGGGGAGGCCGGGCTGCAAACACAGCAGACGAGCTGCCGGCACAATAGGCGATGGAGGCAGAAAGCCACTGCCAGGCAGGACGGGCATCCCGGGAGGTCTGGCTGGTTGGCCCTCCGGCCTCCTGACCGAGGAGCCAGGGGAGGGTCACTGGTCCTGTGACGTCTGGGGCAGAGGAATACCCCCTCCCCGCTCCATGCCACGCTCCTGAGATGCCCACAGCCCAGAGCGCTGCCGCCAGGGAGACCTGTGCAGCGACCTCCGACCTTTGTCTGGAACCCCGGCCCTGCAGCCTCCGCTGGGGCTGGAGGTATCTGCGGAGGAGCACCCTGGGAGGGCGCCATCGCCCAGATGGGGGGCGCCCAGCTCCCTCATGCTGAGCAGGCGCAGCCGAGCAAAGGGCAGGGAGGACGACAAGGCAGCTGCTGGGTGCCTTCGCCGGGCAGGACACCCGGGTTTGGGGAAACTCTTGGGGCCTGGGCGCCTGCAGACCTGTGAGCGCCTGACCACGGCCCTGGAGTGAGGGTGTAGGCTCTCCCCAACCCCAGGGGTGACCCTGGGCTGTGCCCACTCTGTGCCTCAGTTTCCCCATTCGTGAAACATGGAGCCCTGACAGGGACACCCCCCAAAGTCTAAGTGCCTCAGTCCCCAGGCCACTCAGTAGAGGGGAGCAGAGACACCCCCCCCCCCATCCCAGCACAGAGCAGCCAGGGCCGGTGAATTCTCCCCACAAACCTTCTCCTACTGATGGAAAGACAAGATGCAGAGGGAAATAATGATTAGCCAAGCGGAATGGCGATTCTGTTGGGAGGGCATTCTAATCCCAGATGCCCTGCCAGGCTCTGTGGCTCCGTCTCTACCTCTCCTCCCTCCCTTCCCTTTCCCCTTCTCCCTCTCTGTGTCTCTCTCCCCGCTCCCCCCCCCCCCTTCATTGATTCCTGCTCGCTGCCTCGAACGCCCTCCCACCCAGCCCACCGCTTCCCTTCCCCTTGGAGCTGAAGCGAAGGCCCCGAGGCCTCTCAGGGCGGAGCAGGCGGCTGGGAGGCTCCGCGGGCGTGTGGGGACTCTGTCACTTTGGAGCTCACTCAGCGGGGAGGGGCCAGGAGCCAGGCCAGGCGTCTTCCAGGGACTCCTCCGACCCAGGGAGAGCCTCTGGCAGCCGCAGCTCGGCCCCAGCCCACCCGGCAGCCTGACCCCGACCCCGACCCCGACCTCGACCCACCGCCTGGGCACCTCCCAGCAAAGGCCGCTCAGACCCAGAATCTCCGGCGGCCTCCGGCCCGTCTGACCTGGCTGCACTGGGAGGAAGTGAAACCTCCACGCTGCCCTGGTCTCCACGTTGTGGGGGGCCCAGGGGGCCTCCTTCCAGAACCTTCTGTCTGAGCCTGGACCCCAGGGCAGTGGGAGCCGGGCCACCCTCGCCCCACCCCGCCCCCCGCAGTTGTGTTCGCCCAGTGGGTACTGAGTGAGGGCCCCCATCG